TATAGTAGATGGTTCAAAACTCGAGTATGACATAGATTTAAAAAGAGAAGGAAAGAAAAAAAGGAGCATTTTTTATAGATAAAAAAAAATGAAACGTCATTCATATCCATGTTATTTTCTTCTCAGAATTCTTTCTAACTTCTCGCGTTCGAAACTAAAAAAAAATGTATTCTATCCAAAGATCTCAAGAATCATCTCAACCATACGAAAAGTGAAGGAGGACAACTGTAAAGTTTATTGTACTTCTGACTCGGTGCCAACAGCCGTAATATACGTATTTCCATGCTAGCTTCAGATAACTATGATTTAAATGGCTTCGTATTATTTGAAGAAACCGAAACATAGAGCAAATGCTTTTCTGTAACGATAACGGGATATATGTACATGTAGTAATTCATATGTTCAGTGGAAAACTGAAAAGCAATTTTAAAAAAATCGTATGACTAACTGCCGCATGATGCCATTTTTTTCTTATGGCAATTATTTGAATTTTATTTTAACTTGAAACCAGGGTAAACAATTTTTTGTCTTTTTTTTAATATAATTTTATGTAATTTAAGTGCGCCTCTTTAAACTAGCTATTTATGTTTAAAACATTTAATTTAATAAATATAATTCTGCGTTTCTGAATTTAAAATTTTACATTTTTCCCTATGCCTTTTTCAATTAAAATATAGCGATAAAAATCAAAGTTAAGTAAAAATTAATGGATTCAAATGCGTTTTGTTAGCATTTGTTTAATTTTCTTAAAAAATTCTAAAATATTATTTATTGAATATCTAGAGCCATTAGGTTATTTCGAAGCAGGAAAGGAGGAAAATGAGCAATGCCCTCGCCGGGACTCGAAACGCGCCGAGTGTGCTGGCCATTACACCACGAAGGCATGCTGAGAAGGCAAAAGAAATACCTTACATACTTCCCCTTTTAAAGAGCGACTGGTGATTAGGGGAATCAATCGCCAAATCCTGGTGGTGGAGAATGATCATCCATCACTTTTTTAGTTCGCGCATCACTGTAGAGACAGTAGGTTCATTTTACGCGGGAAACTTGAAAAAATGAGCAATCCCCTCTCCGGGACTCGAACCTCGGACCTCTCCAATACGCGCCGAGTGTGCTGGACACTACACCACGAAGGCACGCTAAGAAGGTGGTACTAATACCTTATAAATATATTACGTAATGTACTACTTTTACGCAGAACCACCTCAATGAAAAACCTGAAAATTTTGCTATTATTACTTTTGCGATGTTTGTTTTTAATTCAGTATTCGATGAGGTACGGTGAATAAACATTTTCAAGAACCACTGACAATGAATGATGTTTTATTTAAGAAAAAATCATTAATCACCGAAGCATCAGCGTTTGTTTTATACTTCCCTTAATGTATTTTCAGAAATCCTGAATTGCATGAATAACAGGAACAAAAATATTAGTCAGCATATTTTCTTTTATGCCATCTACCTACAAAAATATGAAGCTCTTTATTTTTAACTAATTAAAGCGTAACAGTTTGAAAACTAGAAGTTTTGATCGATGAGAAGTATCTAAAAGTTTATTTTTACAAAACCTTCCAATTACAGGGCTGAAATCGTTTTCGTAAAATCTTATTTTAGAACTGAGTTATAGGATTAGTATTAAAGAAACTAAAATGCATAGTTACCTTTGCGAACATCTTTTATACTCGTTTAAAATTATTCTACGTTAGCTTACAACGCAAATCCAGTAATAAATGATTAATACTAAACACAAATTTAATCTGATTTTACTATTACACCCAGGAACATCGTCTTAGGGCATGCAATGCAAGTCTGTAAATTTGCTAATTTAACTCCTTATTTATTTATTTGAAAATTCTTATTAATTACTTTAAATATAGGAAATCTTGATCGAAAAAGCAATTACCTTGAAATATAGTTACCACATTATTTTCTTTAAATTAACACAGAAAGAGAGAGAGAGGCGCTAATAAGTTAATTTTTCTGTTATGCGTAATTATATATTTGCATACTGCATATTACATAGGAGTCTACTACAACTGCGCGAATCAAAACTTCTCCCTCCCCCGTCTGGGTATACTACAAATGCGCGAATCAAAATTTCTTCCCCCGTTGCCTGCGGGGAACTACAGGATTACAATTTTACTTTTTGAAGCCAAGAGGCCAAGAGGAAAATAAAAATGAAGAAATAGAATAACGTATCACAAGAACAAGTAAAGAATATCTAACAAGCAGGTTAATTACTTGAATAACAGTGATAAATGTGAGAGCTAACGAAGAAAATAAAAGATATTAGTATACGTACATATTAGTATTACAAACATCTTTCATTAATTACAATATTGGAGCAAAAAGTATTATAATAATAGCATAAATTAAATAAATTATAAAGCTTATGAATTATATTTTTTTATAAATTACATCAATAATAGTCATGATGTTTGAATTAGACTGAAAAATTCAACATAGTTCACTGGCGGGCAAAAGATTATTCAATACCAAAGTGTGTTAAAGTATGGTAGAAATATTTTTTTGTTAATTAAAGTAATCATGTAAATGTTTGCAAAAATTAATAGTTGGATTAAAAAAACTTAGCATGAAATCTATTACATCAACATTATTATGCTTTTGGAACACTGACGAATAAATTTTAAATAAATTTAAATTAATATACTAAGAAGATTATTCCAATATTTATCTGGAGGAAATACTTAGATAAACAGTACTGTAAATTAATATAATCAATCAGTCCTCTCAATAATCTCAAGCTCTTTTGAAATTAGGCTGAACAATATATTAAAGAAAATAGAAGATACAGTATATGTAAGAACAACAGTGAGCTGAATTCTAGGTTTGCATGTTTGGTGAGTGAGTTAAACTTATCTATATGCCATTATGAAATATTAGGAATGTATCATAAAAGTATCTACGAAGAAGGCAATGACAATCTAAATGTATAGCATTATCATTATCTGCTGTTAATTTCAATACTGCTCAAAAAATTATAAATGAATTACATTATAAATCACATGAACTCATTGCATTATAAATTACAACAGTTGGGAATATTATTAGCGTGACTTATCGACCATCTTTGCTTACAAATAATTTAATAAAATTTATTAAAAATAATTCAGCCTGAAACTAGATTGGAAAATAAGCTGTATGCTGAAGATTAATCTTTACCAAGGTGCAAGAAAACTTATTTAAGGTGCGCTACAAATCCGATATTTGATAGGTTGATTATGTATCAGTTTTATGTATGCCATTCATCTATCAATTTTATTATTCAAAACTGATATATATGTATCAGCAGCTAAAATCTACAACTTGGAAAGTCTTTCATTCTTACAAAGAATAAAAAAGATCTGGCTCATTATTCTTTTAAGCATCATAAAACTTAAAAAATGAGTGTAAAAGAAATTCCTTTTTACTTTAGCGCACGCCAGGTTTTAAATTAATATTTCTTTTGTATGCACAATTTTTACAATATCTGATAAACGAAAATAGAGGCTTGTTGTCTCAATAAATGTCCCATTAATGACGATAAATGACTTTTTGTAGCACCCATCTTCTTGGAAATTCGGGTTCTTAGAAAGAAGGGGACAGAAAACGTCGCGCAGTTCGTGGATTAGATAAGAAGGAGTGTCTTCAATTAAATTTCGCGCAGTTCGTATCCTACCTTGCATATATATTGTATGATTTTAGAAACGTTTTATGCACATTTCAGGAGACTTATACGAGAAATTTGCTATAATGCAAATATAAACAACCATCTAGCCGTTTAAATGGAAAAAGTTTTGATGTATTTTTTACCATAACTTTTTGTTCTAGATTTGATATATTTTTTACCATAAATTTTAGTTCTAGAGTTAATTTTTGCTTAGGGTGTATTTTAAAATGTTTCTAAAAAATGGAATTCAGCATAAAATATTTTCATTTTTTTTTAATTATTTAAAGGTATCTGACCTCTCAGATGGTTACAGGTATTGTAAAATTGATCGAAATCAATCCTAAAGTATCAAATCAAACTCATCATCAGAACTTCATCCGATCCTTGCTCTCAATTAAGAGAGAGATCTACGTCGTGGCCTTTAAAATAAATGAAACCATTTTATTTCAAATCAACGTGAATTTAAGATTCAGTTTTCCTACGTTTTTAAGATAGCATGTTTTGCTTACATCTCTTGTAATTTTATGAACTATTATAAAGAAATAATTACCTTAATATTCGCCATGAATTTATGAAAAAACATAGTTAATCTGCATATTTCATAAGAGGTATGCCAAGATACAGCCGTAGAATTTCAGATTCACTTTCCTTTAATTTTTAATTTAGCATGTTTTGCATACATCTCTCATTACTTTATGAACTATTATAAAGAAACAAATACCCTAAGAGATATATTTGCAATGAAATTATGAAAAAACATTATTAATCTGCATATGTCATCAGCCAAGATACAGTCTTAGAATTTATTATAATAAATACATTAACCATTTGTTTTTATAATAAATTCTAAGACATGAATTTAATATTCCGTTTACCTCTATTTAAATTGACATGTTTTTATCTCTCATAATTTTATGAACTATTATAAAGAAACAATTACCCTAAGGGATATATTCGCCATGATTTTATGAAAAAAACATTGCTAATCTGCATATTTCATCAGCTGTATGCCAAGATACAGTCTTGGAATTTATTATAATAAACAAATGAACTATTTTATCAGACCATATCATATCGACAAACAGTTTTTTTTACGAAAGAGATGTCGAGAGATATGAATGTACAAAAAATGCAAACTACAGTAAACATTCAAAGAATGCTTTCCTATTTTGCGCTTGTAAATAAATGTTCCAACTTCCATTTTACTCTCATATCTTTTTTCAAGGCCTGTTTTCATGATAAGATGATAATCTCTTTAAATAAAAAAGAAGATAATGCTTGCTTAAACGGTTTATTATCATTATTACATGTGTGTATTTTAATTTTTCAGGACACATAGGTCGTGACTTGGGAGAAGATGATATCGAATCGTGCCAACCACCTGTCGAAGAACTGCCACAAGTTGCTGGATACGAGGATGTAACCTTCGAACCTTGTAAGCCATTATTTGTATCGGGAAAGGCACTGATAATACAGAATACAACCTTGACATTTCGATTTTATATTCATGGAGAAAACAATTTCAAAAATCGTCATCAGATTTTTTAATGACAATGAAATATAGCATTTTGTGGAACAAAGAAACTTCAGAAAGCAGCTAAAATTTCATTTTCATTGCGAAAAGGAAAGTTTTGATCGAAACGAACTACCCGAAAAGAATTCGTATGATTCTTCTGAGTAAGACAAAATATAGTCAGGTTTTTTGTTTGCACTTTTTTAACTAAATACACTCAAACTTTAAATATATGTAAATGAATCTAAAAATAACAGCTGACATATACATGCAGGTTTCACTATAAGGTATTTCTCCCACTTCCCTAGCGTGCCTTCGTGGTGTAGTGGCTCTGCACACTGGGCCGGTATTCCAGAGGTCCGTGGTTCGATTCCCGGCGAAGGCGATTGCTTATTTTTCATCTTGTCTGCTACCAATTAATCTAATATCTCTACAGTGGCGCAGAACTAAAAGGGTGTTGGATGAGGTTTCTCCACACCCAGGATTTGCGATTGGGTCCCCTGAAATCCCCAGCCGCCCTTTAAAAAGGGGGAGTATATAAGGTATTTCTCCCACTTTCCTAGCGTGCCTTCGTGGTGTAATGATTCTGCACACTGGGCCGGTATTCTAGAGGACCGTGGTTCGATTCCCGGCGAAGGCGATTGCTTATTTTTCATCTTGTTTGCTTTCAATTAACCTAATGTTTCTACATCACTAGCAAAATACTCAGCAGACACCTACGTCAATTAAATTGAGTTATTAATATACAAAATATTAGACATAAATATTTCCAGTCTTTACTTGAATATTGAGCATTCTTACAATTTATGATTGAAATGCTTCTTAACGTCTAATTTTTTTTACTAATTTAGACTTATTATATATAATATATTAGATATACATTTTATGCATTAAAATCTTCAAAATAAAACCTACAATAACATAACTATGTCATTATGTAACAAGTCTTTTCTCCTTTATTTCATGAATAGTTAAACGTTCTTTCATTTGTTACTTCAATTTGTGATTCTTAAGCATTTTTTAGAAAGCCAGATTTAAGCTGAAGAGGAACGCAAAACGTTGTAAAAAATAGTTTAGTTAATATATGAAATGATTGTGGAAACTTTTCACAAGCCTTCTTCCTTTCTAATAAAGTGGCATTTCAAATTTCTCTTAATATTATTTAATGCATGTTAATTTTGATTTTTCATTTCTTGTCTAAATTTTGACATCTTAGATATTTTAATATAATTTAATAAATACTTAATTAATTAAGCTTTATGATTATATGTTCCATTGAAAAACGGAATTTTAGTGTTATTTAACTAAGAATAACGAATTATTTGTACTGGATTTTCATATTTGAAACAGATTTGCATTTTTGATTTATCACCTTTCTTCATACTAACATTTATCACCTTTCTTCATACTAACATACTTCATACTAACATTCGGGAATCTGCTTGTCGTATAAATAAATCCTTTTCAACTTCTTCCTTATTATGAAAATGCTTATTTTTATAGTTCTTCAACCTATTCTGTATGATCTAAACATCTTGGTAGTGTATGCATTAACACTTTATGTTATCCAAATGTTTCACTACTAAGTCTGTTAAGCCGTGACAGTAGCATGCGGACAGCTGAGATATGCAATCAAAATCCTAAAAACAATCTTGTATTTAGCGTAGGTATAATGAAACACTCAATGATTTCGAGGGCAGCTAAAGGTCCCTCCTCATCAGGAGACAGAAATACTTAGAAAGAAGAAAATAAAGAGTCACAGAAACACGTGGTCCTTATCAATGAGGGACCCTTAGCTGCCCTCGAAATCGATTGAGTGTTTCATTATACCTACGCTAAATACAAGGTTGTTTTTACGATTTTGATTGTCACATTAGCGTGTTTTTCTACATTATTGCCTCAGGACATCTCCGGTTATCGAAGTAACTGGGATTTGTAAATGCGCAAGGCTCTTTCCTCGATTAATCACGATAAATTTCTTTCTCAGTTAAGAACTATTCTATGGTTATGTTAGGAAACATGTGCACTTCCACACGCCGCTACGCACAGGATGTGGCTCTCCCAGCCTAGCAGCCTGTTGAACGTGCCTAGCACCTGAGCCTACTAAGTCTGCCTATCAAAAATGTCTAAGCATCCAGAATGAATTGTTTTTTATTTACAATTTATTACATTGTTTATTGCTATACAATCAATTTTTTGCGATCTGTGTCTGACCATAATTATTTTATTTGTTTTATTGCGCTTGCGTATGTTTTAACTTTTGTTTTTCTTATTCATTTAATTGCAGTTAAAAATGTTATTAGAATAAATAAAATATTAGTTAATGAATGCGATCTCAATTCATTGATTTAAAAATATAAAGAGAGCACTTTTTAATTTAAAAAAATTATTTATAACGTTAAAAAAATTATATAAGAAAAGAATATTTACTTAATTATTGATAAAGTCATAACTACAATTTTTCAAACTGTTTGAAATTATAGGCAGCTGTAATTCCTATCCTTTTTGTAATATTTATTTTTGTCATACGGTACCAGTACATTGAAACTTGACTTTTTAACGCCTTTCTTCTTGATAGTGTTCTCACGTTTTGCAACAGTGACGTTCTCCTTGCTATTCATTTCATTGACATGATGACCCTTGCGATGGCACTAATCCCGTCCAATTTCAAATTTCGTAATTCGTGGATCGTTTATCTTTGGATCCATGCCAACATTGAGCCATCCAACGACGACAAACTGAAACACACTTTGCATTGAAAGTAATGAGCTTTTCGTGCTGAAATTTTTAGTCGTTTCAAGCTTTATCTTCCTTGACACATTAATGACACAAATTACTTCTGAAACTTGAGCTTAAACTTGTCGAAGAGTTAATTTTTCTTGGTGCCGCGAAAAATAATAAGATTAAAAATTTTTCAAACAGTTCTAAAAATGGAGATACCGTACACTACACGCCGATTAAAAAAATCAAAGTTGCTTTTAGTGGTATAACATTGTCGTCTGTTTAAAATTTAGCAAACGTGAAACAGATATAATGTGTGTTCAGGATAATTATATTTCTTTGAGACAAAAACTGAGTATCGGAATGGCAGATAGGGCGGGCGTTAATTATGACAAAAAAAACGATAATAGAAAAAGTTTTTAGGTTATAAACATGTTGAATTTGCCACTATTCCTCAATAAAACTATCATAAAAGTGCATTCAAAAGGCGGTCTGCTATGTCATATAAGTATCATGAATATTTATGGGAAGAAATTAGCTTATACAGAAAACTTTTGCCTTTCAACACTTTATTATAAAATATATTACATTCCATACAGTTGCAGTATACCGTGAAAGATAAAGAATGATTATGTGCTATATTGGGTGCACCGCTAAAGTGTACTAGGTCATGACACATATTCGTTATGCTGGAAGAGCAGTAATTTGTAAAATAAATCAGTATCCACCTTCACAACATAACAACTTTTAATATTAATTAAAAGAAGTTACAAAGATACGTACGTCTGTACACGAACACGAGCGGCTGGCATTATCCATTGACAAAAATCGAAAACAGTTATGAAATAATTTCTTTAAAAGCTGAAGGGTAAAAACGAAATAGAAATGAGATCATTGACAAAATCTGAAAACTTTTTATGAATATGAAACTCTTCTAGGATATCTAAATCACCAACGGAAGATACTTTTGAAAAGTTTTGGCTGCAGAAAATTAGAAAATTTGATTTTTTAGCCAGCGATGTAGGGCAATAGATTTTTTTCCCTATGGTCTCATGCTCCTTAGTGTGAAATTTCAAGGACCTGAAAATTTAATGCTGCATTTCAGTTTACTCAACTCTTCTTCGAATTTGTATGATGAAAAATTATTAGAACTTTTAAAGTTTTTTAACTTCACTGTCATAAATTTAAAAAATAATGCTGTGTTGCTTCAAAGAAAATAAACTTAAAAAAATAATCTCTGGTGGAAATCTGGATGCAATTGTTATACGATTCATCATTAGAGAATTCTCAGGGTACAAAATTATCTGCTACAAAAGTAGTTAAATGTTTATAAAACAATTTTCAGTCTGAAGTTATAGGTCATTAAAATGTAGAATTTATATTACCAACGAAAATTTAGATGTCGATTCAGATGTGCAATAAGCATAAATTTAATATGCCATTTAGTGTATTTATTAAAGCAAAAGCTTCGAAATATCCAATTATTTTTTCCATACTATGATAATTTTCAAATTGACGTTTGACTAGGATTATTGATTATAATACTATGTTTATACTGGAGCTTATTCTTTTTGTAATTATAATATCTATGCTTAATGTGTGTAACAGAATATACTGTTAAATATTTCATTTGCTTATTTTCATATTTTTTTAATGTTAGAAATTTCGTTTTCTGTATGTAGCAAGTAGAGTAGATTCTATTGTTTAATTGGATGATGCTGTTAGATTGCTGAAAATGTTTCCTTAACTAATTATTGATATAAGTAGCATTTAAAAAGTAAATTTGGGATTAATTTAACAGAATTTTTTAGGTATCTTTATTAAACAAATTTGAACATGTCAGAAATAATTACACAAATATATTAATTTGTTACAGCCTTTAAAACGTCTAGATGTATCATTAATACATATAATTGTTTTTTAGCAATAGTTCCTCCACCTACATTACCGATTATTACAGAAGTTGAATCTTCGGATGAAGGCACTGATATGGAATTATTTACAAAGTAAGGTGCAATACATTGTTTTCTCATGATTATATTCAAGTCTCTTTTTTTTTCTTTCTCCTGTACTGCCAAAATATTTCAAAAGTTGTTGATATATTTTTAGCCATTCGGTTGCTAACAATGACTGATTTTTAAGTCAAAGAAGTTAATTTTTTAATATTACCATCATGGGATGGTAATATTAGTGATAATGAAATCGGATTTCTAAATCAAGCAGAATTTTAAATAAGATGAATGTAAATTTACGCCGTCGAATAAATCGGGGGACCTAGAAAAACAAAGGGAAGATATTCTATTCAAATGCTGATTACAAAGAACAATTTTTCTTCATTTTTAGGGAGTGATTTTCTTTCTTTTTTTAACTAAAAATATCAAATAAATATTTTAAGAAGTTATCAAATTACAGAATTTTAGTAAAATGTACTAAAATGTTAAAAATAACTTTTAACTATCATAACAATCTTTGTCACGTGTAACTAAGCATTAATTCGTAGGGCAGCCAGACATGAATTGTATTAGAATATTAACAGAATTTTACGTACTGATAGTATAGAAATAAGAGTGAGTACTTTGAATTCATTTAAATTTCTCACAGACGATTTGATATAAAATTTGACACTAATCCTATGATTTTCTTATTAGTCACATATTAATAAGAGTATTATGATAGCTAAAAAATTATTTTTAATTTTTTACGGTGTTTAAATATAGCAATTCAATTTTAAAATAAAGCAATTCAAGTTTAAATATAGCAATTCAAGTTTTTCTAATATTTTATTTTTTAACCACTTTAAAGTTCTTAACCGTTTTTAATGTTTACTCCTGAAACCCTATTGTCTTTTCTATCTTAAAATACGAGATCGCGTACCGCTTTCAATAACTGATGAGGAAAAGAAAAGACTAATACTTAATTTTTAATAAAATAATTTTAAATATTTGTGAAATGTACAACATGGAAGAACCACAAATTCTGCCATGGAGACAGATCTTTTGCCTCTTGCTAAAATCTATAAGCGGCTATAATAAATCTATAAGCGGTTACCTTGAATTTCTGAATACACTGAAGAATATGTATAATGTACCAAATGTAATGAGGGGTTCTCAACCGGTGGTACGTAAGAGAAAAATAGGTGGTACGCAAAGAAGCAAAGAATTTTTAACTATCAAATTCAGGAATTAAGACCCCGACATCCTGATTGAGGTTTTTCTCCAACACTCCTAAATTTATGTGATCTGAGCTTTATTCAAGGTAGCCGCTTATAGATTATCTGAGCTTTATTCAAGGTAGCCACTTATAGATTTATTATAGCCGCTTATAGATTTTAGCAAGAGGCAAAAGATCCGTCTCCATGGCAGAATTTGTGGTTCTTCCATGTTGTACATTTCACAAATATTCTTTTAGCCGCAGACATAACAAAATTTGCCATAAATGATGTTTTAAAAGACGCGATAGAGATGGATGCTGTATTTAATAGAAAATAAAAATAAGTTCCTATAAAAAAGATAATTGTATCTCATTAATCCTCTTAAAGTTTATCGATTTATTAGCATGTCAGCACTTTGTCACCATTTCCGAGCGAATATTGCTCCATTTTCAATGAGAATCATTTTTCACATCGGTTTGCTGTCTGGAACAGTATGAATTTTGTCCTCTTGTTGCTTTGTATTCCTTATTTTTCTACGAGATTTGAGAATATCGTCGTCTGTTTTTGAAGAACCCGTAATATATTGTGCCTTTAAATATTTGTCAAAAAATAATGAAACAAACATAGATTTTAAAAATGGAAAAATGGCTAGGATTGACTAAGCGGAAAAATGACGATCCAGGTAATGGATCCAGGACAATCTACTAGCACTAAGAATATTGAAAAGAAAAGAAAAATGTTTCTAGAAAATATAATGAATGTTATTTATCATTTGGGTTTACTTGGAATGGAGACGAAATGGGACCTTCAACCTCAATATGTTCTTTGCGGTGAACTGTTATCCAATCAAAGTATGAAACCATCGTCTCTTAGAAGATATCTTCAATCTAAGCATGCCAATTTAAGTCTATTTTAAGAGGAAATTATGGAAGTTCAAAAATAGTAGACAAGTAATAAAAGATTTTTGTTACTTCAAGTGAAAAAGCTTTGGAAGCTAGTTACCTGGTAAGTCTAAGAATTGCTAAGACTGGGCAGGCTCACACTATAGGAGAAAACCTTATATTAGCAGCAGCTAAAGAGATTTTTTTAACATTATTCAAAGAAGTATTCCATTATCAAATGATACAGTAAGTCGACGAATTCATGAAATGACAAATTCCATATAAGACACTTATTCAAAAAATAAAACACGGTGAGTATTTCGCTTTGCAATTGGATAAAAGTACTGATAGCGAACTTTGTTCAATTATTAGTTTACGTACGTTTCGAAGAAGAAAAACGAATTGTTGAAGAGTATTTATTTTGTGAATCTTTTCATGATAGAGCAACTGCAAGTGAAATTTTCGAAATAATTGACAATTTTTATGTCTGAGAATGCTCTTCGAATAAGTGCATTGCCGTATGCAGTGACGGAGCTCGGGCTTTAACAGGAAAACATTCCAGAGCGATTTCTCAAATTAAGTCGCACCTGAAACTAAATCTGCAACGAATTTTTGATTAAAAAACTCAACGATTTGAAAGCGAGCAACGGCAAAACTGTACTGATAAAAAACTAAGTTTTTTATCTCCAGCGCGAGAGACTGTGGATAGCTTTTCAATTTTTTATTTAGATGGTTCACGTTAGTGAAAAGGTTGAGAACCGCTGTAATGTACAAATGCTTGAAAATATGTATTCGAAATCTATTTGGTGAAAATTTTTGAAAACAATATGATCAAAAAAAAACCACTTGCAAGTTTAAGGATTCTTGTAGAATTAGTATGAGTTTAAGAATTTAGGTTTTTGCTTCTATAGCAATTTTGGAATTTTTTAAGTTAAATTACTTAAAAATTGTTTGGATTAGAAAAAATCCAAACATTTTTTCTAAGATGTGTATTCAATGCAGAATTTAATTCTCAGGAGTTACTAATCATTTTTGCTGGCAAAATTTGAGTTTTCTAACGGCTCTCTCACAAGCAGTCCCTGGAACGGAGTAATAAATAAGTATTTCATTTTGAACTGAGGAAATCTAGTAAACTGCTTGGATAAGCTTGTGTCTTTCGCCACGTGTAATGTAAATAAATTCTGGATTTTTTTTTTTTTTTTTTAAAAAACATTCTCCAAGGAAAAAATAGTTCTCATTTCAAGTGTTTGAAAAAGTATTTTATGCGTAGAAGCTTAGAATTAGTATATTTTTCTGCATTTCTAGATACGAGAATTTCTTACTATACTTCGCCATGAATTACATACCTATTTAAGCGAATAAAAGTATACCCCGGAAGGAAAATGGACTAATTGCGTGTAGTGTCCTTTTTTTTATAAGTAGGTAAAATTAACAGGAGTTGATTTTCCTTAGAATGTTTTCCATGAACACATCCCACCTAAGGTATACCTTGCACCAAAATGGGGGGACAGTTCTATTTTCCCTTTCTACTGGACCGATTGCCGAAATTTAACTTGCGTTTTCCATGTCTCGAAAGCACGACTTAAGATATATATTAGATTTATATATGACACATAAGTATTTTGACACAAAATCGGACATTTTCCGAAATAACGTACCAAATTTTTTTTCCATATTTCAAATCTATGACTCAAATTATGCATAAGTGCCAAGTTTTGTGAAAGTCCCACGAGTAGTTTCTAAAAAATTAGCTCTCAAAATTTTAGCTCTTCCATGTTAATTGAATTTGGTTATTAACATTATATTTAATAATATCTCTTCTTTTTAATTAACCCTTTCGCCGTCCTCTCCTGTCCGCGAAAATCCCCCCCCCAGCGGCCGTCTGTTTTTCGTAGCGTGTAATGTTGTTTTCTCTGTACATCATAACTTTCCATACATGACTTTCGTAGTGGATGAATGTCAACGAATATTAAGTAAAATTATTAGGAAATAAAGCATAATGGAAAAGTAGTAATAGCTCTGCTTATTTCTAACAGCAGGATTAATTTGATAACATCTGATCCAGGCGGTCCACTCCTCTCATTTTGTTGTTGTAATCTTTTACAATTATTGGTTTTTTTTACAGTTATTTTCCGTGTTCCAACATCAATCATCGAGTTATTATAGACTGTACTCATCAAACGCATATCCTTCTTCTCTTTCCAATTCACAACCTCATTTTTTCTCTTTTTCTGCTGAATAGACGTTGAAGCCATCTCTCACTGTCTTGTATCTTAAGTAAAATGGCGCGAATATTCATAAAACCCGGGGCAAATTTAATTAGGAATAGAATGCCTGATTAGTGCTACCCTCTAGAGGTATTAGAACAACCAAAAATAAAAACTCAAACAAGTAAACATTTAGAAAGCGTTTAAACGTTTAAAAGTTTTAAAATGTAAAAACGCTTGAGGCGCGTTACGGCCGCCCTGCGGAAGGTTCACTTGAACGCGCTAGACACGTTACGAAAGAAGAAGAGGTTAACATCGCTTCAGTCCGATTGATCCGTGTCTATGTAGAAGTCGTAAGAATATTTACAAAGTACCCTTTCTTCTTGATGTTTGAAAAGAAAAGTTTTAAAGTATTTTAAAAGGTGACAAACCACCAATTCGACAATGTGCATAATGGTGAAATATTTTACGTTTTGAATATTCTATAGGCCTCTATTCGTTTAAAACAAATTTGTCGAAAAAACCTTTCGTTTTGAATATTTTATAGGTTTTGAATATTTTACGTTTTGAATATTTTATAGGCCTCTATTCGTTTAAAACAAATTTGTCGAAAAAACTTTTCGTACAATAAATAGAATGGCAATTTATATTTTCGTGGAATTTTTGTGTCTCATCAGTCTTTACGATTTCTGCTTTTAACTTTTGAAAAGAATTATCCACCTGAATTGTTTGAAATAAAAACTAATGAAGATCTGTAGATTCTAGTAATAACAATTTAATAAGTAAGCCTTTTTTTAGTCCAAATATAAAGAAACAAGAATCCACTAATCAAGAATCACTCTGAATAGATAACATTCAGGCCTAAAATTGGTTTTTAAATGTAAAGAAATGGAGTCAGTATAGAATGCAGAGTTGGTTTTCTGGATTTCTTATATAGATATATGAATAGCAAATGATTTTGGATTATTTTGACTTTGCATTGTTTAGTTTTTGATTTCTCTTTCGATTTCCTCATAAGAAGGATTATTTCATGTTCGCTGGTTTAAATAAGATATAAATATCCAACTTTCTACAATCTAAATGATTTCCTAGAAATGATATAGTAACATGAGTAGCGGAGCGGTAATACAGTACAATAAAATGAATTAAAATAGGTATTTCCAAAGGAAAGTTATGGAAAGAAATATTCTTTCATTGTAAATTCGATAACTAATTAGATGAAAAGAAATGTGAAGGAAAATGACCTTACAATAATGTAACTGCAAATGACATTTTTACGTTGTGAATTCTGTGGGAAATTAATAAACGTAATAATTAAACACGTAATATGTATGTTAATTTTATGCCTTTTTACACCTTAAATTAGAATAAAAACATGAATTTTCCCTAAGGTCTAATTTTATTTTAGTGTTATAAATGTTCTTAACAGTGTCATTCTAAAGCTTTGATCTGTTGCGTTACATTTCATTACTCTGTCATGAAAATATTATCTATTCACTTTTGTAAGTGTTGTCATTGTGCTAAATATATAAGCTGCATGTTTCATGCATTTTGAGCAAGCCAGTTCTCACAGTGTTACCATTCGGTAAAACATAAAATCTTCAGTTAGCCTTTCAAATCCGATCAGTCTGTAATCGCTTAACAGACTGAAAGATTTAAAAGCAAAAAGCATACTTCTTAATTGTTTAAATTTTTGTTTTTATTTTATTTATTAATAAAGTATGTAATTGGTTGGTTGGTTGGTTGACTTTTAACGGCACAAAACATTGAAGGTTATTAGAATACATTAAAAAAACTGAAGTTTTCAGATTTTATATTACGCCCAAAGGGGCGTTTTTTCAACGTTTTGTTGTGTTATTTTTATTTATTAAGTGTCATGTTCTTCGCACTTAAACCATAAAATTCAATTCAACAGCAATATCAAAAAAATATTTAAAAGTGCATATCTTTAAAATTTCCGATGCACAGTCTCGTGCGCTGGAGATTATCCCCCCCCGTACAGTATTGCCATTGCTCGCTTTGAAATTGTTGCGTTTCTTAATCAAAAACTCATAAACGCTTTTCGAAATATGAAATCGAAATAAAGTAAATTCCAAATTCCAAATTTGGGCTTCCAGATGCCCATATTCGTGATATTCGTGTAGAAACGAGCGTTATTCAAAATTGGATGGCTCTAGATACCGTTGTTTTATTACAATGTGAGAAACATACATTCATTTATGCAGATTCTTCATTACTTCGTTTCTTAATTATAATACAGGGCTTAAATGTAATAATAATAATTATTAAATATAATGCAGGGCTCTAACATTTGGTAGCAACAATTTGGAAAGTGATTCGCAGTTTATAGTGAATCAACGCAAAATGGCAAAACGAAATTAATAGCCCTTTTAGGCTAACGCGTTTTGGGCTAAATACGTATGTTTCATTTTAATTAATAAAAGATGTTTCGAATATGATGTATTATGAATTTGGTAGAGAATCGTTTGATTTCTTATTATGTTTTGAGAAAATAAATCTTTGATTTCTCTAAAAGAAGAAAATATCTTTGTTTAATGTGTCAGGCATTTTACACTTTAATTTATATGAATAGAACATTCTATTTCTTTATTAAATACGCCTTAAATATTAACGTTTTCATCACATCTAAACAAAAAATTTCTTTTCCAGAGTTCCAGTTGTTTCGGAAAGTGAAGCTCGTGAGTTGTTAATTAGATATGCAAACTCGCGATGCGCTCTGGATAAAGATGCTGCCAGGGATATGAAAATAACAAAATTGGATTATCAACCAGGCTATAAAGTAAGTGATGTTTGTTTCTTAAACCAACAAGTAATGGCTTTAAATGCTATAGAATAAGTGATGTCTTATTCCTTTTAAAACCAGTGAGTAATGCATTTATAGGAATTTTAGCTTAAATACATTTTTGTCAAAATGGAATAAATGGAAATGGTCAGGTAATAATCTTATTTTGTCTAAAGTAATATAAGATTTAAGAAGGGATTACATATAATGTTAGCTGTAACTTTCATTACTTCTACTACGTATTCATAGAGTCATTAATTTCAAGTAATAACTGTAATTTCTGGCATTAAAAATGAGGCTGAGATAAGAACATAATAAGCTGAATAAAACAGCTCATCTCGAATGAGATGAACATATGAATTAAATATATCCGTAAAAGTCATTAATCAGCTTGTAAAATATACCTTTCTTCGTTATTCTACGATCATACAGTGGTACTATTCGATCGTTTTACTAAAATTTAGAAGATACCTGGGGAAGCCTGAAGTACTGAACAAATTCGTCGACCATTCTTGCACCCTAAACAAATTCATTTATATAATATTTCGAATATTATTTATAAAAATTCGATTTTTACTGAAAAATTTTCATTTATAAAATTTTAAATTTTAATTAGTTAATACATTGCTATAAATCCAGCTACATGTGTCTTCTTTTTTTAAGATAGGAAGCTAATAAAATAAAATTTATGGAAATGTTTTATTGTCTAATTTGCTTTGGGAATTAATATCCATATTACTAATCTTATTTTTTTGAATTTTTTTAAATGCAGTATTTTTTAAGAATAATTGAAAACTAAGGTGGTGGTGGTGTATTTAATTATGGCAAAGCACACTAGGGCTATCTGCCTAAGGGGAGGGATGCCTTTCGTGGAGGACTTTCTAAGAGAAACTGGCTCGTATACACGTTACACATGGGGAAAACCACGAAAACGCCCATGCAGCCAGCCCGTTCGCGGGATTCGAACCTCGAACCGAACTACCAGTGTTCAGCGACTTTACCGCTCGGCCGCTGGTGGGCTTGAAAACTAAGGAAGTGCCTGTTTTAAATACAAAGATTATAATTCTTCAAAAAAAAACTCGGACCTGCATTTTTCAGTTTTTTAACATCATTTTACTCTTTTTTTCCCTTTTACTCTGATAATAGGGCAGCCATCCGCTAGGCTTAGTTAACACTTCGGCCAAAACCCCACTATAGAAAGAGTTTAATAACTTTACGCTTGTGCCATACGCGCCAGGTGTGTCTTTGATATGCAAACCAAATATGTGCATCTAAAGAAGGAAACTTGTTGGGCAGTTTAAGATAAGAGGTTTAGCAGGGAAGAAAGACATGCAATATATTCAGACTCGATTTCTGTGCATCACGTAATTTGCTTGCAGGAATAAAAACAAAATTCATCTACATTCATTATAAAGTATTTGACGTCATAAGGAAAACTTTTATATCAGTTCACGACCTTACCGCTTTCCCAGCACTAATTAATATGTTTTACTTAATAGTACAATCTTTGGTGAAAAAAAGCTCCCTCTTTCGCATTACAGTAAACGAATTCGACTTTTGATCTGCAGAAAAAAGGCTACCCAGATTTAGTTATCTATATGGGCTGTGTTTTAAATTAGTTCTCCTAATTCTGTTGAACTAATTTTAAAGTATACTTGTCATAAAGTGCAGTTCCAGCGAGGGAGAGATAGCCATTATTTTGGAAGAAAGTAGAAATGAAGCAAAACATTATTTTTCTAACGCAGGTGTCAGGTGACGGAGGGCGGGGGCAACAGGTGTCTAAGAAAGGTAAGCAGGTATTTAGGTTTTCCTAAGGCAATAATAAAATGCATATCAAGAACGAAAACGAATTATCATTCTGTTCAAGTATTTATAATCTAGGCAGAAATGTTGCTTTTCCTGGCATTTCTACTTTTAAATGCTTACAAAATGTTATTCATTATAGTTTCTTAAAAAAGAAAAGCGGTAATCAGCCAGACAAAGATATATTTGTGCTGGCTCAAGCAAAGAGTAAGTTGCACCCTTCAAAACAATAAAATCGGAGAAAATTCTGCTCATCTGTTTCTTTTATTTCAAGTAATAAACTGACAGCTTTAACAAGAAAATATAATACGTATATATAATAAAGCGTGATATTTTAGTAAAAAGTTATTTTGGTTACACAATCAAAATCTGAGCTCCAGGAGGCATAGCCCCTTGCACTGAATGGTAAAGATTTCGATTGAATATTTTAAATAATAATATTAATAATCTCTACATATAATAAAAGAGTTTGTGTGTCTTTTGTTCGTGCTGCGCGTTCGTACCGAGGGGCTAAGAAATTTGGTATATAGGTGCATTTAGACAAGAGCCAGTGCACCTCGAAGCGATTTTTTTTTCAAAATGCGAATGAGTTTTTTTTTTTTTTTTTACTTTATATTTTCGATTGTATTGCATCATTTTGTTTCATTCTTTTAGAAATGTGGATTTGGCAACAGTTTTTGTATATACTGGACTGCTGACTGTTGAAAATCAGCACTGTTGCCACTTGGAAATATGAGGGCGATAATTCTGTGCTGTTTTTAAATTTAATGTTTCTCTTGGATACTGGACGTTTGTCGAGAGAAGGCAACGGGAAGTTGGTTAATTTATTTATTAGGATAATTAATATTTGCATTAAGGCATATTGCTTCTTTCATTGTAATTTTGTTATATGTAATACATTTTTAATAAAGTAAAATTCCTCGTAAACCATATAATATATTTATAATATATAAAATATATTCCAACATATTTTGTTCCTAAATGCATGCTGTAAGTGAAAAAGGGGGATAGATAATGAAAATTCTGAATTATGTTTCGCAAGTTAAGTGCATAAATATATTTACAAAAGAGCCAAATTCATTTCAGTGGTATCGATATGGAATTTTGGAAAACTGTAGTTGAATATTAGATTGTCATCGCAAATGTATATGTGTTAAACATTTTAATAGCATTGACTCAGTGAAGGAGAATCAATTTAATTTCTAGATTTGGCCCAACCAAAAAATAGTATGAAATGTTACTGCAGAGTAAAATTCTGCGCAGTTTTTAAATGCAAGAAAGCTGGTACATTTAAAAGCCAGACAAAGGCTGGCCGCGTAGCTGCTAGTATATATACATAAATAAATAAAGTTAGTAATATATATAAATTATGAATTAAATAAAAATAAAATTATCAAATTATTATGCATAAAAAATAAAATTATTCATAAGTATATATATTTATAAACATTTGAATTTAACAAACATTCTCTAATCGTAAAAAGCAAATTTAAAGTTAATTAAAATTTAAATGAAATTGAATTACAAATAAATGATAATTATTGCTGCGAACTTTACTATATTCTTTTGAAAAAATATATTTATAAATAAAATTATTAATAAGGTATGAAGTTTCAAATTTCAAATTTTAATTTGGTATTACGTCAAAAAATATCTTAACGGGTTTGAAAAGTTATCGACTTCAAATCATTATCCTCTGTCGTATCCTTTCATAAATCTTATAATAAATTTCATTTCTCTAGCTTTTTTTCATTCCTCTAAAGCCAAATATAACACGCACCCTCGTAAAAACGCAACTGAGCCTCATAGCCTCAATGTTAGCAACAAAATTATGCATAGTAAGTAAAAAATTTAGCTTCCGAGAACCCGTTGACAACCCTAATTGAAGTAGGAAGCTTTCATCTCGTTTTACTTCCCTGGAAGATGTAGCTTCCTCTTTTTACCCTTTGCCGGTCTTCCCGGCATTTAACTTTGTTTATAATGGATCATAATTTTTTTCCTTGCTTTCGTTTATTTTCAGTACACGCTGGAGAGCTTCACGGAATCACGTCAAGTGAACTGGAGTTTTGAACCTTACACTGGTGAGTGTTTATTTTACACCTACAAAGAAAGCTGGTGCAAAATATAGCTATTTGCATGGTTTCCGCGAAAAGAAACCTTTTCAAAAACCTATAAATATGGTATTTTGGTTTAAAATTTGAGATAAAAAAAGAGTTACAGCCATTATTTTGTTTTTAAACGAAAAACTGCCTGTTGCTATAGTTATAGATTCCATAGTAAGTTAGCCAGGGTGTGGAAATAAACGGTGAATAAAAGAGAATAATAATGATTTTAATTAAGGGATAAATTGCATCCAGAAAAAAAGATTGCTAGGTAATGAAAATGCTGAATCATGTTTCGCAAGTTAAATTGTAGAGACATTAGGATTTTTTGGAAGCAGGCAAGATGTCTTTCGGTGTGGATATTCATCATCTACGACCCTTTTAGTTCGGGCGCCATTGTAGAGACATTATTCAACATTGTATTTTTGGAGCAAGAGAGATGAAAAATTAGCAACCGCCTTCTCCAGGAACCGAACCACGGACCTCTAGAATACCGGCCCAGCGAGCGGAACCACTACACCACGAAGGCGCGCTAGGAAAGTGGGAGAAATACGTTATAAAACATTAAGTACATAATATTTACAAAAAAGCCAAATTCATTTCAGTGATATCAGTATGGAATTTTGGAAAACTGTAGTTGAATATTATATTGTCATCGCAAATGTGCATGCGTTAAAAATTTTAAGAGCATTGACTCAGTAAAAGAGAATCAATTTAATTTCAAGATTTGGCCCAAACAAAAAATACTATGAAAAGTTACAAAGAATGGAAGCTTAATAAAATCATATTTGTTTTTATTTAAGCAAAAAAATCAAAAAAAAAAAAAAAAAAGAAAGAAAGGATTCGGAACAGAGTTAATTGTGACAAAACGACGCACTAGGGCTATTTGCCCAAGGGCACAACTGCCTTCGCGAAAACCTTTCTAAAGGAAACTAGCTCATGTTCATATTACACATACAGAGTGCAGCCAGCCCACTCAACAAGATCCAGTCCAGGATCCAGTGTTCAACAATCTTATTCGCTCGGTCACTGGTAGTATCTAATGATTCTTATTCAAGGTTTAAAACATTATACTTTGTAAAGTCAGTGCAGATACACAGATGATGGCTCTAGTATCGTTGAAACTATCACTAGAAAATTCCTCGTAAAACATAAATATATTCCAACTTATTTTATTCCTAAATGCATGTTGTAAATGAAATACTTGAAAAGCAATGATTCTCAAAAATAGAAGATTACTAACACTGAGTGACAATGATTGCATTAAAATCGCCCAGTAAAGACGTTGCCTTCTGCACTAAACTACAATAAATTTTTAAAAAAAATCTAACTAAACTCTAATAGGCGACGAATTTCCGATTCTAGAATGTTACATAGATGATATTTTTAAAATTTTATACTGTATCTTTATCAAGGCATCCGTTCGATTTCGGAAGTAATAGATATTTTAAAAACTGTCAAATTTGATAATATTCCTGCAATAATTCTATTCAGATTCCACAATTTATGATCCTATATCTTCGTCTGTGTCAGAGAGCTATTGAAAAACTATAAAATATTATACACATACATTTTTTAGCTTCATTGCAAAACAAAACAGTTATTGAAAACAAACATGACTTTATCGGTAACAATAAAAAGAAAATCAATGAAAATTTGTATACAAATTTATAATGCTGTAAGAAAGAAATATTTAAAAAGATTAATAACAACAGTGTACAATCGTTCTCAAAAAGTAAGGATAATTGTGAAACGCAGGCAAATATTTAATTGTGTAAAATCGAATTATTGAAATAAAATTGTGCCATGCCTTTTGTTGGAAGGTTGGAAGGCCTTTGGTTGCTCCACTAAACCATCGTCGGAGATAGGAGCACAGCATACACATACATAGCAATTGATTGTAGGTTATGAAAATAATCAGAGCTGTATACTAGAGAACGTAAAAAACATATCGGAAGGGCAAAACACCGAGTGATGCTGATTCAGAGAACTCGTATAGATGATATTATACAGATTAAGACTTATTTTTTTCCCCCTTTCCAATGGAGGGCTCTGGCCCCTACTAAAGCCGGAAGCGAACAAGTGAGCCACCGTTGCCTCCTATGAAGGCATGGACAAATTCTTCATGTCTTCTTCAGGTTTCGAAACCGTATTTTTGTCTGGGCGGCACAAAGCAAGAATCATCCATCTAATTTTGCGCTGAAACCTGGTAGCTCGATCGTGATTCAAAACCCCGCAAACGGGCTGGTTGCATGGGCGTTTTAGTAGATTCCTCCGTTGTGTAACATGAATAAGAGTCAGTTTCCTTAAAAAGCCCTCCACGAAGGCATTTTTTTCATTAGGCAGATAGTCCTTGTGTGCTCACTCATAATCAAATAAACAAAACGAAACTATTATAGTTTAAGGCAGTGAAGCCAAAAGTCCTACGCGCTTTATTTCCCAAAAGATTCCATTTTAAAGTCTGGCAGCAAGTGTATCGAAGTAGAAGAACATGATTTTCACGGAACAAGTGTCTCGAATTTTTTAAGGCATTTTAAAATTAAAGTAGTCAAAATTATTTAGAAAGCATCCGTCACATAATTATTAGAGTAAGAACTTTCAAAATGTACGCGTCCTAAATGTGCAATGTCAAGCTCTTACGAAATTTTAAACTGTGTAATATGATTCCTCATTACGTTGAAATTTTGAAGTCTTCATAAAATAGACATTTCGTTAACAACAGAATTCTAAAGCTTCAAAAACCTAAAACTCCATTTCAAGTTTTCCCGTAAAAAAGAATTTCCAACTTTTTTTATGAACACTTTAATTGTTAAACTAGAAGCTCTAAGCTTACAGCTGATTTTTTCCATTAAGTACTTTAAATCTTACAAATAGAATGATTTAAAAACTGTCATTTGTACCTTAGCTAGTGAGATGACGGCTATGTACATATAAATAAGAATGCGTGCTATAAAATGAACATTGTTTTCTATCCCAAACAGGCGGCCCTTTAGATGAAACAAGTGCTGCAACTCCTCCTCCTGATCCATGGTCTGTAGAATGTTCAAATTCTCAACCTTTCCAAGCCCATATATTAACCGTGGATGTTCCTCACACAGATGTATTGATGACGTGCCATGCTTGCGGAGGTGTTGGAAGCAAGAGATGTTCTGCATGTTCCGCTGCAGGATGGGTAACGGTTTCATACATTTAAGAAAAGAACAAGCCAAAAAAAAACTGTTCTATGTTTAAGAATCATGTTCCCACTTTGTAAAATGTATAATGTGATCCGAAAGCTTATATATATATATATATATATATATATATTGCTGCATGCGCACGAGTTCGTAATAGACTGAATGCACACAGGTCTGATGATAGGTTAATAAAATTTATTTTATAAAAATAAACACTTCAAAGTTCTGTAATTTTCCACAGAAATCCTCGTACAGGTGTTCACAGTATCACAAAGTACAATCAGTAGCTACACTTCAAACTGCACAACGCAATGAACGTACTGCACAACGCAATTCAAAGCACACCTAAAGAGAAAGCTAACGGAGATATCTCACGTCACGCTAAACTAACAACTCGCAACAACAATAACTAAACAACTGACAGCAGAATGCTCTCTCCGGCCTTACGTAGTTTTCAACTAGCCGCCAAGCTATTTCTAGTACTTTCTGCTTCTCCAAATTCTTCGAAAGCAATATAAGGATCGAATGCCGATTACAGCTAATATAGTAAACAATTATATTTATTCGATTACAATGTATTATTCTGTGTATTATGGTGATACAGGGACTAAATCAAAATGTTATCAAGTGGTAACTAAATCTGGCAACAAAATAAGTCGCCAAAACCGTTGTCAGCTTAGCGATATCTCGCCAAATCACCGAGATACCCATTTACTCAATGTTAAACGGACTTGCTCCTGTATTCTTGTATTCTTCCGGCATGGCTGCTCTCCTTTGTTCTCGTTCCATTACACAGAAAAATACAATTTCATGTATAATTGCGCTAAAATCATCTATCTATGTACAAAATTCGTAACAGTGTATAAATTAATTAATGTCATTTGTAATTAATGAAAAATAAAAACTTAGTTTACAATTACTGTTACATTTTAAAAAGCTTTCTGAAGCTTCTATTGCAGAAGAACAATACGTTATTTGAATATTACATAAATTTAACTTCTCCCTCGAATTTTTCGTTTGTATTCAAAGACCATTTGACAGCAAGAAGAGACACTCGTCTCATTGAGGATTAAGTTGTATAAGATTGCAGAGAAAGTTAACAATGTGGTCCAATTCTTAGCCATCATGATCTCCAGACGTTACATGTCTTGATTTCTTATGAGAGTTCTTAAAAAAGTATGTGCTGTGGACTACAAGCATTGCATTGTTTCAAAGTATGACTTAGGCAACTGCGGTTACTTCCCAACCTGTTTTGGAGTATACCAGGAAGAAACTGAGTATCTTTTAGATTTGCTTTGAGATGAAAAAAAAAAAAAAAGCAAAGATTACGATATGATTCAAAGAAATTATGTAAATGCTATAATAATTCTTGTAAGCTTTAAGCTCTTGTATTTTTCGTAATAAAGTCTTCAAGCGTATTAATAATTTTTAGACCATCTTGTATTTTAATAACCAGTGCGTAAAATAAAGAAAGTTGCAATAAAAATGAAATGCTTACTCGAAATATAATTTACCCCTGAAGACAGATACCGAACACAATTAGTTGTCTTTACTCAGATTGGCCTTCTGCATATAGAAATTTTATTTTTGGAAAGACTTAAGATGTATTTTTTTCCTCTCTGCATCATATATATACACAGAGAGAGTGATGAGGGTTTATGGCAAAGATAAGCACATAACGACAAAAAGTGACATGCAGATGTAGCCTAATTAATTCTATTATTTCCTTTTTATTCACGACTGAAGGACATTTTTCATTAAGCCAACATGTGTGCCTTGTTTTTAAAGAATTTTTAAAGAATTTTTACATTGCTGCTGATAAACTTGTGAAATATATTTTTGAAAGCAGCAGACAAAGGAAACTGGTCAGAAGCGAGGTAGAAAGCCAAATACGATGCATTCAGAAGTAAGCGTGGGAGACAAAGAATCAAAACGTTTTAGCTCTCGAAAAGGTACTGGGCTATAACACGCCTGCAACGCAGCATTATATAAAATGGCATGAAATGGATCAATATGGCATGACAGATTGCATTATTGAAAATATTTCCTATTTTTAAGATGGAAAGGAGAAGTACCCAAATTAAAATGAAAGAATAAGAGGAACTACTGCCAATTAAAATTAGAATATCGCTTTCATATTTTTATCTTCCACATCTACTTTTCGGGATTAGGCATTTTCATTCATACATGTTCCTTTCTCTGATTTCAAACATTTACCATAAATTTTCTGTATTTTTTGTTTATAATACTTATGCTAAAGCTTATTTAAAGGTCACATATATGAATTTATGCTAGAGAAAATGGATTATTGCTAGATTGTATTTATATATAAATATTTTTATTGATTGGGTATACTCCAGTTTCAAAGCTTCACCATAATTTCACTGCATTTATTGTTCAGAATTCTTCTAATTTATGCCAAAGTTTAAATGTCACATATACATTGTGTGCTAATTATCCCACTAGCGGGCAAGCGGTAGAACAGATGAACATTGATAATTCGACCAATGTTCAGATCTCGGCGAACGGGCTGACGGCACTGGAGTTTAATAGTTTTATTCATGTATAACATGACTGTGAGCCAGTTTTCCCTAGAAAGTTCTTTACGAAGGCATGCCTGGCCTTAGGTAGATAGTCTTCCTGTGCTCTGCTATCATTTGACTAATCCAATCCAATCCAATTTATGTGCTAATTACTTCTCTTCGGGAATATTTTTGAACATGGAGGTCATTAAAATTATTCTTTCAGTTATCACAAAGCATTTTAAGTTAAATGTTTAACAATAATTCATTTTTAATATTTTAACTTCCATTAGAATAATAGTACTTGTAAATAGAACAAATAAATATTGCACTTATTAATAATTCTAGAGATCAAAATTAAAAAGGACGCCCACCAGTAGCTGAGACGGCTGATTGCCAGTAGTTCGATTCCAGGTTAAAATTATGGAGAATGAATTGGCTGCATATGCGTTTTCTTATTTGCTGTATGCGTAGCGAGAGACGAGATAGTTTTCCTAAGAAAATCCTCCACGAAACCATCTCTTCTCTAATCAGATAATTTCCTTTGCTGTAATCAAATTAGCCAGCTCAAAAATGAAAAGATATCCTAAGGAAAATTATTCGTTAAGGCGATAAGCCTACACATAAATTAATAATCAAAATTATCGAAACATGCTAATAATATATAAAAGACTTCCTGGCTTGATAATCATATTACAAGTCGTGAAACATTGCTACATTATAAATCCAAAACTAGTTTATATCTCCAGAACACCCCAAGATATATAACGCGATAGGTAAATTTGGTCAGAGTTATACTAAGTTGTAAACAGATATTCACAAAACCTAAGATAACAATAATGCTAACATTAAGAGGTGACTACAGAATTATTGTAATAACTCAAAAAGTCACAGTTAATTTATTAAAATATGATTTAATTTCAAATTTTTTCACATTTCTGTTATGCTGTATAAAGCGATGTGAAGTTTCGAAGTATTTATTAGCAAACAATGTGCTAGTTTTTTAGTAAGAGATGTATACTTCTTTTTGTTGCAGAAAATGATAAACACATGGCATCATCAAACATTTTATACTTCTCATAATAAACTTAATTTATTAAAGCATTCTTTTTTATATTTGTAGATTACTTGGTTTGTCTGCTAGTTTTTCAGTCTGCTGTAAATTTCAAAATCATTACCAAATATATATATTGAAAAATATTCATGTGTAAAAGTTAACCGTATAATTAAAACTACGTATTTCAAGAGTCAACTATATTGTTAAGAGCGACGCGCAAGTTTAAGAACAGATCGTAATCAGTGTTACTTTTTATAGCAAAGCAGTATTAAGCAGCGAAGATAGGATATATTTTAGTACTAAAGAAATGACTGAGTCCTATCTACCATTTATGATAAAAAGTAAATGGGATTTCTTTAAAATTCTAGCAAAGATGTTCTTTCTGCTTGGGGGATGGCCACAAGACATCCTTACAAGGACACAGAGAACGATGTTTTCGTTGCTTAGGAACCGGAAGGAAAAAGTATGATTATTTTTCTATTCTTTATTATTACTATTATTATTATTATTATTATTATTATTATTATTATTATTATTATGACTATTGCAGAATGTTAATTAATGATGTTTCATCTCAATTATTTGAATTCTATTTTTGTATGCAGCATACTCGGTCTAATCGAATCAGTTATTTACACTCAGATCTACTCAGTGTTACTGACATGTATGTAGCATTATTAAAACGTAATTTCCCAGTCTAGGGCATTGCACTATGATCTAAGACCGGTTTCACTATTTAACACATTCTGCAACAAGACTAAGTAGCGAAGAATAAGGTGGAAGGCATCCAGAAAGTCTTTTTTTTTTTTTTTTTTCTTTCCCCTTGTAAATACGTTTGAATGAACGCGTAATTTTATTTATGTATAGTAAACCTGTGATAAATCGACATTTCCGACATTGTGTGAACACGAAGTATTGTTTTATTATCGATTTCATATTTTGTAACACTTCAACGAATTTTTGATTAAAAGACTAAACAATTTCAAAACGAGCCATGGCAATACTGTACAGGGGGGGGGGGGAATTATCTTCAGCGCGCGAGACTCTGTATCTGGAATTCTAAAGATATGCTCATTTTAAAATTATTTTGCGATAGTGCTATTGATCTGAATTTTATGGTTTGAGTACGTAAAATATGATATTTAATAAATAAAGGTAACACACAAAACGTTAAAAAAACGACCTTTTGAGCGTAATTTAAAATCTGAAACCTTTCAAATTTTTTTAAAATTTAAAATTTAAATTTTTGTCATTTTCGGTTCAGAGACAGGTTGTATTTTAGTTATTTACTTCTTTCGTTGCTCCAACTCTCTGATGACGATGCAGCTAAAGTTCGAATTTAATATGTGAAGAATTTTAAACGTATTTTTATTTTATTTTGCAATATATATGTCATTTTATTAACAGGTGTTGGAAGTGTGGTGGTGAAACTATCGCAATGTGCAGAGGCTGCAGTGGAACGGGGCAAATACGCTGTTTCATTTCTGTTACAATTATATGGTAAGGTCTGAAAAAAAAATCATAAGAGTGTATTTCGGCTGTTTTAGTATACTTAAAGGTGATAAAAGAGCTAGCAATAAAAATTAATTGAAATGGCGATATTATAAAAGACTGGCAAGTACAGTTAATCCTCGTTTTACAGTGGCTCTGTTATCAACCATTCAGATATTTATGTAGGTTTAAAAAATTAACTAGAAAGAAAGCACATTAAAAAACGTCAAAAAATTAAAAATAAATTTCTTGAACTTAAATTTAGAAATAGGTTGTGATACAGTAATCCACGCAACCTAACAAAAAAGGCTCTTAATTTTTTTTCTTCAGAAAAGTGGTATCGTCTCGGTGTCTTACTTTGAGTCTGTGAAAACAAATATGATCCACACCCTCTTCATCACCAGATGATCATAAGCCCTCATTGATTAAACAGACAGACCTCTAAAACTAGGAATTCGATATCGAACAGAAAAACTGTGTGAGAATTTTTGAGTTTTTTTCCCATGGAGTTTCTTTTTCCTTAGAAAGCCTTCCACGAAGGCATCTTCTCCTTAGGCTGATAGCCCTCATATTCTTTGCCGTAATCCAAATGTACTTATCCAATCCAGTCTGATCTTCAATTTAGCTCCTTATGATTAAATACATCTTGGCCAGTGATGTACCAGTATACAATGTATATTGGGCTGGCAAGAAAGTAATTTCGGTTTATAGTGTGAAATAAAACTCAATTTTTACTACAAAAATTAATTTTAATCAGTTCACTATTTTCTATTCTGTTTATGTTAGATTATCTTTTCCCATTCTTCTGGTAACTTCATGATTCCACGTTCGTAGATCTTCTGGTCTTCATCGGCAAAAAAGTCAACCAAGAGCAATTTGATGTCATCGTTATTACTGAAATTTTTAACCATTTAAGAAATTTTGTAAACTTCGGAATAGATGATAATCCGACGGTGCAATGTCGGTACTATATGGGGGATGCGACATCACTTTCCAACCAAGCTCCAGTAATTTCGTACATGTTGCTAAAGATGTGTAAGGCCTCGCATTGTCGTGGTGGAACATGATTCTTCTGCGATTTGCTGATTCTGGCTTTTTCTCTCTGATTACTTCCTCTAATTCCATAAATTGTTGGCAGTAAACATCAGAGTTGATTGTTTGGTTATCTGAAAGCAGCTCGAAATCCACAACACATTTGTAATCCCACCAAATTGACATAATGATCTTTTTCTGATGCAATATAGTTTCGTTATGATTTGTGCTGATTCATCATGCTTGCACCTCATTTATTTTTACAGCAAACCCCATCTTTTTCTATTAATGTTGTTGTAGATGATTCGTTTTTCATCGCCAGTGATAATTCGTGTCAAAACAGGTCTACTGCATTACGTTTGAATTGGGTATCGCAAATATGGATTCGTTCTAACAACTTCTTTCAGTTCATACGGAAAACAAATATCGAACGAGACCAAAACATTTTATTTAATTTTCAGTTATTATGTGTGATAAATTTAACTTTTTTGCAATTCTTCGCACAGTTATATGATGATGCGATTCAATTATCGCTTTGATTTTATCATCAACAACTTCAGAATGTCGGCCAGAACGTTGATCATCTTTAAGTGAAACATCTTCGCCACGAAATTTTTTAAATCAATTCTGACACATGGGTTTTATTAAGCAATCGACACCATAAACTTTACGCATCTCTTTGTGATCTCAGCCACTTTCTTGCATTTATAAAAATAAAAGATTAAAATATGTCGAAAATTTTTATTTTTGCGCCTTATGTACAATTGGCCTTAAATTAACAATAGCAAATAAAAATACACGCAATTTGTTTCTAAGCAGTCTAAAAATGTCAGCTGTTAAATTTCAAAAGGATAAAAAGTATAAGCTTGACCGAAGAAAAGAAAAACGAACATAACGCTATCTATTTGTGCAAACCGAAATTACTTTCTTCCCAACTCATACAAGGAAACACCACAATAATTACTAAATACTCTGGCACCGAATACTGTGCAGCCGGCCCTGAGAGGTGCAAATAAAAATTGTTCTTAAAAACTCTAAAATTCATAACACAGTAAGGTCATTTTACTCTTAACATGAAATAGATTTTTAAAATTTGGTATTTGAATGAAGATTTGATTTAAGTGAAGGGTAAGTAAGGAAGTATACTGTGATACCTGTAACAAAGTTTTCAAGCGGTCTTTTCCCTACACACGTCATGTAATAAAATTATTTCATGTTGTAAAGTTCTGGTAGGAAAGGATACTTAGAATATACCTTACTGATTAAATGATGAACGTGCCAATCTGTCCTGGAAAATCCTGCATGAAGATATAAAAGTATCCCTTAGAAAGTCAGCTACAAACATCCTAAAGCTGAGGTAAATATATCGCGGATGTTTTGGCTAATAAGTTGCATGCTTACATTATTTACTTCGTTTACTTAAAGTTTTCTTGTTTTTTTATTTATTTTAGTTATTATTATTTTAAAAAATGATAGCTTAAAGAGCAGTTTGATGCTGTGTTCCATTATAAATTAGTTTCCAAACCAAACTGAAGGTAATTTGCAAAACTGAAATACATAGACATTTGTGCATCACGTCAATGTCTCTTTAAAATAATATTTATATTTTAAAATTGTATTTGTCTAGTTTTTTTCGATATATATTGTTCTTATCAACATAATTACCTTGAGTTGTAACATTTTCAGGGCAAATGTTTTGATGCTCAAGCACAGAAAATTTTTGTGGCCGTAATTAAATGATCCACTTCTTAAATGATTACATAAATTATGTTATCATAAAACGCATAATGTGTTGTGCAGGCTTGCTATGAATTTCCTGCGTGTGATTATTTGATTTAGTAATGTTCAAAACATAAATATTTTTATTTTATCTTTTGTCTTGTCAATAGAAAAAAAAATCAATAGAAATCGCCTTCCCCTTGAAAACACAAATTCTGTAAAAATACTCAAGCCATATAAAACCTTTTTTAAAAAAATACATCTGATATCAAAATATCATTTCCATAATGCTGTTTCTTTTGTCATCCTTTATAATGATATTTGTCAAATGCAGTATTTAGGAAAAATTTGTTCTTTCAGGACAACCCATAAAGACACACATGTTATCGAACCACGACAAGCCACAGTTATTGGTTCAAGACTTGAGAATGCTCAAGGATATTTAGTTTTTGAAGATGAGAAACCTTTAGTAAGTTTATTTACATTTCCAAATTTTCGTACACAAATTCTTTTTATTATGCACAAGTGCTTTATAAGTGTTATTAGATTACTAAGTCAGATAACAAGCCAATGGTCTCTTTATTCTAATTAATTCAGATAAATGAATTCTTATTTCTATGACCAAAAAAATGCAGCATGGCTTTTAGAAACTTTTCATCGTCTAAAAATTGTTTGAAACTTTTGCTTGCAAGATTTCTCTCTCACATCTCTCTTACAGATAATGCAACTTATCTCTTTTCATGTATGATTTCGTGTTTGGCATTCCTTTCACCATTAAAATAAAATATGTAGCAAAATCATGCTGCTCCCTAAACTTTTAGTAATAGATTTATTTTAAATTGCAAATTATACCAGTACTTTTATCTTTCCACATTTAAAATCAAATTTTAAAAGAAGACATCTATCTTATTTAGATATTCCCTGTTGTATTTCCGGATGGTGACTTACAGTCTGCAGCAAATCATTATATAGAAAAACATATGACTTCCTTCTCCACTGAGAAGATAATTTTACAGGTAAATCTGCATTTCATTATTATAAAAATTAATCGATTGTACTCACTATTCCATGAAGCTATTATTTTAACAAATAACTTCAAAGTAATTGCGCAAAACTGCAAATGCAATTTCTTGGACGCAAGAGTGCAAAGCTTCAGTGAGATTGTCAGGGAATAATATAAATATTCAGCTAATTCTCTTTCATAGGTGTCAGTTCTGCTAGGAAGAATTAGGTGAATACTTTTCTCTGGAACTGCATTATTCTTTAATGAATATTATGCGTAACGTTAATTTAAGGTATTCTTAATTTGTATCAGAATTCAAATTCTAAAATAATAACAGAAGTATATTTGAATGAAGATGCAACAGGCAGGAATTCTGTTGCACGTTGAGTTTGTCTTCATATTTCAAGCAAGAAATCATTATCTAAGATATAAAAGGATTTTACAAGAATTGAGAATCAGATTGTGTATTGGAGGATTTACAGGTGCATTTCACACAGAGGCGGGTTAAGCGGCTGGCAGTCACTAGGGGCCTCGTGATCATGTATTCGTCAGGATATACAAGCTCTTTTCTAGTTAAAATGTTTTCATTTCTAAAATTAACAGCAGAGGATGTTGAAGCCGTCAGAGATCAAGCTAAAAGGTGTTCATCAAACAGTTCTCCTTAAGGGCTTATCTATCAGTCGTCAGCTCTGAGCTATCAGATTTAAACACTATACTATGCGAATAAGCATTTGGCTTTAAATTTTGGACTAGAGTCTGTTAAACCTTTAATCTTTAGTCTTTTACTAAAACAGAATAATTACATTATTATTCTGTTTTAGTAAAAGAAAAAGTATAAAAATAGAATTCTTACCAGCCCACCAGGCTACCAAAAAGTATAAAAATAAAATTCTTACCAGCCCACCAGCCTACCAATAAGTATAAAAATAGAATTCTTACCAGCCCACCAGAGGCCGAGCGGTAAAGTCGTTGAACACTGGTAGTTCGGTCCGAGGTTTCAATCCCGCGAACGGGCTGGCTGCATGAGCGTTTTCATGGTTTTCCCCATGTGTAACGTGTATATGAGACAGTTTCCCTTAGAAAGTCCTCCACAAAGCCCTAGTGTGCTTTGCCGTAATTAAATAAACCAAGAATTTTTACCAATTGAAATATTTTTAAAAATATATACTATACAAATTAAATATTTCCTTTTAATAAATCTGTGTTTTCTTGATTCATTATTCCCAGTATTCGCTTGGTCCGTTTGCCTATCTCTTAAAAACTACTTTTGCGCAATAGTAAATGACATTTTTTCCTGAAAAGCAAACAAGTATAATCTGGTTATCATTTTCATTTAACTAGGTTACCATAGATTTTAATTTTTTTTTTCTTTTATTGCCATGTGTTAGTTTTTGAACATGTTACTCTAGATCTGATTTTTCGTGAATTAATTGCACATTTTTTACCAGTATGAAGTTATACAATGGTCAATAGAATTAAAAGATAATAACAGAAATAAAACGTAACAGATACTTCACGAAAAGTTATTAATAGAAATTTGTACAAAAGCATTAGTTAACATAAATTACGATATTTGGCAGCTGATTATTCACAAAATATTGAAATTAAAAATAAATTTATGGAAACTGGAAAAGAAATGATGGAAAAATTAACTCACCTCTTGTGGAAAATTTTTTTCTTTAATATAGTGTATGGTGTTGGTGTATTTAATTATGGTAAAGCACACTAGGGCTATCTGCTAAAGGGGAGGGATGCCTTCGTGGAGGACTTTCTAAGGGAAACTGACTCGTATACACATTACACATGGGAAAAACCACGAAAACACCCATGCAGCCAGCCTCGGACCGAACTACCAGTGTTCAGCGACTTTACCGCTCAGCCGCTGGTGGGCTTATATAGCGTATGAGTCCCGTAGGACAGATATGCGTTACTTCACATCTTGATTTCATAGACTTTACTAAAATGTTGATCAAGTGTTGTGGAACTGCACTCTACACTTCTAAAAGACCGCTTTTCAGCTCTTAAAGGGTCCAGGAAGGAGGCGCGCTGAAATTCGGCGTCCTAAGACATCCCCCCACACACACGCAATCGGGTTCAAGTCGGGTGAGCAAGGTGGCCAATCCATTTCTTGATATCTTGTGTTTACAAGTATTCTGACGCCCACATATGCTCGAAGAGATCGAGCATTATCACCCATTAGCAAAACCTCTGGGCTAACAGCACCCCTAAACAGTCTAATTTGGAGTCCCAATATCTTGTTCACATATCTCCAAATAGTTGCAGAGCCTCTTTGAAACATATGCAGCTCGGTGCAGCCATGTGTCATGATTGCTCCCCAAATCATTAAGCCGCAGTAGCGGAAACAGGATCTTTTACGGACAAGAGAAGACAAGCTGCGTGTTCCTCCCTTTCTGCAGATCAAAACACGTCTAGAATCACTTTTCAGACTATATCCGAATTCATCAGTAAACAACATTCGGACATTCGGGCCCAGTGGTCTTGGCTCCATTCAGCATGACGATGGCACCAATTTAAACGGACCCCTCTGGAAGCTAGAGGGAGTGGGACGCATTGGTTTTCTCGCATACAATCAAATCTAGTTAAGCCTTCATGCAGCAGTAGAACGACTAGTTCAAGTTCCTGAGGCAGCTTGAACGTCTAAAACCGAATCTCTTGAAGTCGCTTCGCGATTTCTTTGAGCCAACAACAACAGAAAACGGTCTTCCGATGTAGTTGTTGCTCTTGGTCGCCCTTGACCAAGCTGTCTGTCAACTGTTCCAGTGCTTAAAAAGCAACTCCAAACTCTCGATATGACAGTCTGAGAGATATTCAAATCTTGGGCGACCTTCATCTGTGTTTCACTTTCCTCGATTCTACCAATTATTCGCCAGTTCGCGATTTCTTCGAGCCGATAACATCAGGAAATGGTCTTCAGATGCAGTTGTTGCTGTTGGTTACCCTTGATCAGGCTGTCTACCAAACGATCCATGATTAAAAACGGTTCCAAACTCTTGATATGATATTTTAAGGGATACACAAGTCTTGAGCGACCTCCATTACTGTTTTATTTCGCTCGATTCTTCCAATTTTTCACCACTTTTGACTTTCAATTAAATGATGTCTTTGATCCATAATTACTGAATACTGATCACTCTCAGAAACCACATTCGCTTTAAACAACACTACAGACCGGAATTCCAGCATGCGTCTATTTCGCACTACTTATCAATCACCGAATTTACAAATTTCCAGGGTTAATATATGTGCGGAAGGGCAAGTTTGTGTTCAGTGGTATTTGATTAACATAAATATTTACAGTACTGGGCATTGATTGCAACATAGTATATTTTTTCTCATTATCCTTTATTTTGATGACCAGTGTAAATTGGCCTAAATGAGAAAACTAAGAAATTTCAAATTGATAAGGATAAACTTGGTCCGATGAATCTTGAACTTAAAAATACTACTTCCAAGGCTAATACGTAAACAATATTGCAAAATATTTAGTGTTTGCCACAAAATAACATTTAACTTTTATTCCTAATAATAATAGGTAGAGCTATGTCGTCTTTTTGACAATGCTTCCAACATTTCTTCCTCTAAAACTATTCAAAAATTCACTTAGCCTAGAGCAGGGTTTCTTAAACGTTTTAGTGTGAGGACCCCCTAATACTTACGAAAATGTTGTGGGACCCCATAAGCATTGCGCAAATCCGACACACGCGTGAGTGAAACTGTTTCTTCACTCTTACTGTAATATACTATTGCAGTTTTAGGTCATTAACTTTCATTTTTAGAGTAAAATAAACGTTTCTATTAAAAAAAATGCTTCGAAACGTTTTCTTTTTTTCTTTACCTGTATTGTTTTATCTTTATCTATTTTCAGATACATTATGTTAAAATATTTGGTAACTGTAAAATTATTATAATAAGTTAAAGGAATATCAAAATTGCTAAAATTTTTGGCGACCCCCTACGGCAGGTTTTGCGACCCCAGTTGGAGTCGCGACCCACAGTTTAAGAAATTCTGGCTTAGAGGATTAGTTTTCTTAAAATATTCCCTAACTAAATATGATGATAGCAAGGCCTAAAATCTCTTACACATGTTATAGAAACTTTTATTTCTATTCTCGATATATGATGCTTCTTGTCAGTTGTTTCACATTTACTGCTCAAGAGAACTGTTTAAACAAAAACATTTTGGGGATAATCTGTGTCTTCTTCATTATAAAACTGAAATAAATGTTAAAATAAATAAGTCCAATATTCTAACAGCACAAATTAATTGCTAACACTAATGCGTTATGTTTTTATTTTTAGCGCCATGGTGTGTATACCATACCTGTATATTGCATCACTTATTTATGGAGACAGGAACACTTCCGGTACTTCATCTTTGGCAGCCAAAAAGAAGTGTTTGCTCCTGACTATCCGGAGAATCTTTGCTGTTGTTCCATATCATAATAGTTACAGTTTAAGAGATCAGACAACAAACTTGCAGAGACTTTATAATTGCATATTACCTTACCAGTGGCATTAAATTTACTAGCATCCTATGTGTGGCTGTTACAAACGCTCAGAAAAAGAAGATTCATATGAGATTATAAGAAAATCTTTTTAAATATCTTCATTATTAAGTATTAAATGAATTTATTAAATATTCTTATTAAATATTAAATGAATTTACTACAAAAGTTGATTTAAATACTATAATAAGGGCATTTTATGATACGCCTGGAAATATTCTTCCTCCTAAAATCGCAATAAATAAAAGCCCACCCAATACTTAACGATTTCTTGCTTGTCTTTACCTGCAAATTTTTGTTGATTTATCTTAAGTGCGGTCGTGATTATGTAAGCGAACCGTAAAATAAAAGCAAGCGCTATATCTGCATTTACAGCATGAAGAATGGGGGGGGGGAGGAATTATTGTCCCAGATATGCTAAAACTCTTCTGCGAAGGATAAACTAAACAGCTATATCACAGATTGCTATACAAATTAATTGGAACCAGTCTACCATCAGAATATTTTTCAGAAAACTAGTTCCCTCCTTCCTGGATGCAACAGCAGCACGCCTCTAATAATCACTTTCAGAGAAGGAAGATAATTATTTTCCATTGCTTTAGCGCAAGATACTGACTTTGTGCTTTCACAAAAACTCCTGAAATGTGGAGCGAGAACAGCCTTTTTCAATGAATGGCTTAGGCTACATCTAATGCAAGAGAATTCAAAACCTTATTTTTGCTCCAGCCCAAAAAACATTTGCTCTGGAGGGAAACTGAACGATAAAAGATAATTTAGTATGATCGAACGCACAATCATCCGCCGATCGAACTCGGAAAGAATTCACTTGAAATTCTGTAAAGTAAGAAGATAAACTTCTAGTCACTGCGGAGTTGTGGGCAGTTCGATTATTTGCCATCAATACCGCGACATGAGACTATTAAACCACTAAGTGCAGTTCTGCCATGAATTGATTTAGATTACGTGCGGATAAGGGCGGCGTCGATCAAGTTGACACAGCGAGATGAGTGCGGAGGAGGTACACGCGACTATCGCACGAGTTGAGCGAGAGTGAACCAGTTCTATCTTGTCCGTTAGTGCGTACCAAGGAGGTTAGAATACATGGGAGATGGCGTCTCTGCTGTCGCAATACGAGGAGAGTGAAGCCGGGGGAAGCAAATAAGCCACGCCTCGTGAGGGCAAGAAAACGCTTCCCTTACTATGTGAAGTGAGGTTAAACGTCAGCTTGTTTGAAGTTTTGAGTGTGTTTTCTGATTTCTTATGTGAAGACGTGAGAGGGTTATAAGGTACTGAATGGTTACATTGAAATAATGTCTACATTTCGGATTTCATTTCCATATAAAAGAATGTTTTTTTAACATGCATAAATAAGTATAATAATTGAAATGTGCGTTTGAAAAGCCGTCAGAAAAGAGTTTGAGTATTTTTCTCGGTGTGACGTGCGCGAAGAAAGATCTATAATTCTCAGATTTTTCTTCAACTAATAGTTTGAGTATTATACTCGTGGTAAGTAAACAAGGGAAGGGGGAGTGGTCAGCTCATCGTGGAAAAGAAAACGCGTTATTTTAAAGGTGTGATCATATTATATTACAAGTCATATTTTATGTATTTAATTTTATTTTCTGTTCAAGTAAATATTTAAAAACAGGATTTAATTTGGGGTGAAATTTGTGGGAGTTTTAAAAATAACAATGCAGAATTTAAATATTATTTTTTATCATTGTTCATGCAATTTAATATTTTTCAAAACGTAAGTAGTATTTCTAACATGGAAAATTGAGACTTATACCTGTATATATTTAGAATAACTAAAATATAATCAATTAATGGTTTGAGTATTTATTTATTTATTTTCACAATACCTTTATTGCTAGCATTCATTAATGACAGCATGTAATTACATAATGCATTTCTCATTTAACTCATTTTAATGGAATCAGTCCCTTTGTACATATATTTTCCCTCTGCATATCCTGATAATCATTAGAATTCATACAATTATCAGCACTTGCAGCCGTTTCCTTGGATATGTTTTAAACATGCACAGCAAATTTTTATCTAACTTTGAGCAAAAAGTATAATTAAGTAAATGATAGTATATGTTAAAAGAATATTTACCTGTGAAATGTAATACCGGATCCTGCTATTCTTCTATTTGTACAGCCGAAAGCGACGCAGGAATTTACCATTTTGGCAGGAATAAAAATTGCTTCTCGGAACAATATTGCAGCCGTCTACAAGATGATAGAAAATGTAGAAATAAAATGAAATGGCGGGAAAAAGTGAAGGAAAAAGCACGCGAAGAATCCACGGTCTTTAATTTAAGAAACTGGGTGTGGCTAGGTTCTGCCTCATTGGCTGAAGAGCTCGTCAATCTTTCTAAAGCCACGACTACTAAGGGCATGCTTTCCCCCACTTTTTGGCTTCACTTGGACTGCGCGCAGGGCATCTCCATGTATTCTAACCTCCTTGGTGCGTACAGTAGTCGGCGGGTCGAAAATTCTCACGTGAAAGACAAGAAAGAGTACCTACTCGGCGCATTAAGCTAGGTGATGTTGCCAATCACCATAATGTGATTGCCAAACACTGGTACTATAAACGCGCATCAAGACCAGGGAATTTCCCAGCAGCTTTCAGTGGCTGAACGTTATCCATAGAGAAATTTGCTATTCTTCAAAAATACTGCCCGACAACATGCTGTACCTTTAAACACTATGTTAGCTTCTACGAAATGAAGTCCACATCCGGAAATGAGACCATAATCTATCCAATCTCAAGCCTATCGTTAATTTGAGGTAGGTTCTCAAGAACTTAAAAAAAAAAAAAATCCCTACAGAGAAAAGATTAGTTGAAAGACTAATAACCCAAGAAGCATCGACCAACACTGCAATAGAAATTTGTTGTGTACCCGTGAAATCAATGTCTATTCCAGGTGGTCAGCAAACTCATTACTCAAAAGAGAAAAAAAAATCAGCAGTACAACGATTAAGATTTCTTTTGAAAGCCAAACTTCTTTTCAAGAACCATGTTTTTATAAGTTTACACTAGCTACTGACATTAAATAAAACCAGATATCATAATAGTAATTATCTTATTTATTGACAAAAAATATTTTTCATATTAAAATGAAAGTATAACAAAACACGCATGTTATGTCAACAATGACCTTGCATTTCCGTACAAAGTTTGAATAAGTCAGATTTGTATGCCATTGTTTTTAATTTAAAGCAGAATTCCAGGTTCTTATTTCTCGTGAATCTTACTTTCATGTTTGAAAAAGATAGTTTTAATGACTATTGATAAATATTCTTGAAAGACTGTTCGCATGAAGCATTTCAGTCATTAACCTTACTTTTGATAATGTTCACGCTTTAAAAAGATTGTTCGCGTGAATATGCAAAGTTAAAGAACAAAGAATGAAAGAACAGCAAATGCCCCAGCCCCCCCCCTTTTTTTAAACTGCCGAATGAATCAGAAATACTTTTTAAGGTGTTGAAAATTATTATGTCTTTCTTCTTCATGTTTTTCAAAGAAGACCCCTTTTGCTGTGAACTAATATAACACCTATTTTTCTCCAGTTTTATCATATCAGCATTAAGGCGTTCACATTTGGAGCTCCATAAATCCTTAACTCAAATAACTGCATTTCAAAAGCTCCAGTGTCAATATTAAAGAAAGAAAAATTCAATTCTGCACCGAACAGAACTGAGATAGACTATAATATTTTTTAACAAAGGCTAGCGTCGTATGCTATTTCTGAATTCTTGAAACCTCCGTGAAAGGACTTCCATTATATTTAAAACTGTTGTTTTGAAATAGTATATTTTAGTTATCGAGTTATTACCTTGGCGATGTTTCAGCAGGTACGGAAAAGAAATTAATGCTTCTCTTTCAAAATTTTATCAAAAGGATAATTTATTTTCGAATATGACTTTTTCCAATATAAAAAAAAAAGTGTTTCCTTTTCCCTAAAGTTTATAATTTCAGATAAGACATAACGTGTACCATGAAATAAAATTTTTGGCTTCACTGATCGCCCATTAGTTCTGGATAGCTAGTCTTCTCAAAAAGATATAAGGTATTTCTCCCGCTTTTCTAGCGTGGTGTAGTGGTCAGTACACTGAGCCGGTATTTCAGAGGTCCGTGGTTCGATTCCCGACGAAGGCAATTGCTAATTTTTCATCTCTCCGGCTTCCAAAAATCCTAATGTCTCTATAGAGAAATGCTTTAATTTCTAATAAGAAGAGGAAACGTTTTGTCTTAAAAGGTACCTTTTTATGCAGCAGAAGATCTGTGCATTCACTCTCCATTTCAACTAAAATTTCTTTAAAGTTGCAATGATACAGAGATTTAGCTACAATTGTGTTGACAGTCTTCATAATATTACAATTCCATAACGTTGCAAATTTCTTCTTCTTGCAGAGCGTTTCTGGATGAATGATGCAATGGTGAACAAGTATCTCGTGATTAATTTTTTCCTTCAAAATATAAACAAAGCCTTCTCTCACTCCGGTCATACTTTCTGCCCCTTCTGTTGAAACTGGGGGAAAAAATAAATTACGGTCTATGAAATGGAATATTATGTTTCTCCATGTTGAATATGATGTTTTATTGACAGCATTTGTAATACCCTCTGCAAGTGTTTGACCTTTCAGTGGCAATAATCCTAATCTAATAATAAAAGTTCTTCTTTAGGATCCGTAGATAAAATAAATCCAGCGAAAAGTTAACCTTGAGTCGTGTCATTCATGTTACAAGATTCATCAACAGCTATTGATAAAACTGAAACTAATTTAAGATCTCCCATTTGCTGATTGGTTTTATTCGCAGATGCTGTAACTGTTCTTTTAGTGCTTTAGCAGACAGCGGTAACTCTAATTCTTTTAAGAATTTTTGCTTTGTTTTTAAAATCCCGGAATAACTCTTTGATGCAATTATAAGACAACTTTATTAAATTCACCACCTGTGTGTGGTTTGTCTCTCTTAGCAGTCTCTTAGCTAACAATAAAACTTGCAATATTAATATTATTGTAAGACCGCACCCAATAATTAAATATAGAAATTGATTTTTCTAGACTTTTGTGAAGTTTGTCAAATGCTTTTTTCCTCCCATCATCGCTGGGATATCTACTGCCAAATGAAGCGTGTTTAGTTGTAATGTGTTTCTCTAGATTAGATTTCTTCTTATGCGCCAATTTTTCTTCATACATAAAGTTCAGAAGGCCATTTAAGTTTTGCATAAACGCAAACAATTCGGTCTATTCAACTTTACATTCACGGTTTTCGTCTTCTGCTTTTCTTTGCTTCTTCTCTATAGCCATGCCAAACAGGTCGCACTTAAAACATATTTCTTTCCGTAGCACTAAAAGTGGTAATACAAAGTTATAACAACTTATTAAATTGATGCCAAAAATATCTGTGAGATTTGCAGGTGGTTGAAAGATGCAGTAGCTTAATGTGCCGAGTATGTATTCATGTCACTCGCTTGAGAATTCTCGGCACGCTAGGCACTGACCACTGTATATACTGACAGACAAGCTGTGACCAGCTTGCTCTTGGTCAACTCATGCGTTAGTCGTGCATGCCGCCTGCACTACGTCAACCCCATCGACACTCCGCTCACCCACAGGTAATTAAAATCGATTCGTGGCAGAGTCGCACTCAAGTGGCTAAAGAACCCCATGCTGCTTGCAAGCTGTGGTTTGTCAACCCCTGGCCTAAGTGATTTGCTAACATATATACTACATATATGTAAATTTAGTCAAAGAGGAATAGTATTTCCAAGCCGTATGTCTAGATAATTGTTGTAATGTTTGTGCTTTTCTCCTTCTTTCCGTCCATGGTTTAATTAGATAACTTGTTTTATTAAATAAGTTTTCTCAGAAATTCAAAGAATACTTAATTTTCTGGCGCCCATGGCAACCATATATGAAATGCTTTTAATTTACTGTTACAGAGAAGATGCTGCTCAATATTGAGAACTCTTCTCGTGCATATTTTCATCCTGCATCAATGTTTTTGTACTTAATATTCATATTAAAAAGGATCAACTTATACTATTTAGGACTCTTGAGTGTCTTATAGTATTTGAGACTGGCTTACAATGTCTTATTGTATTTCATTTGATGCACAAAATAGCACTTTGATGTAAAATTAATCTCTACAAAACTAAATAAAGGAGACAAATTCACTTACATCAAAGTGAGCCAGCAAAGTTTTACCAAAAAATATCAATTCAAGTTTAATGTAGACTCCATATAAAACTGTCAACCAGTAAAATAAATTCTGTTTAAAATTATCGATTTAACATTCAAATAAAATTTCCCTAAAACTAAATTCTTAGAAGCTATGACTTGCTAATGCAAATGTTATTTTGATACTTGATGATAACAAACATTATTTAAAAAACCCAAGACTTAGTTTGACTATTTCTTTCTATTCGTTTCCAGTTAGATATGCTATAGATACTTTTATGTATTTTTACTGATGGTATGACTGAATCAGTTCAATGAAATAAAAATTCATTTTCTGCAGTTTATGACAACAGATTAAAAAAAGTGTCAACAGGAAGAGAACATGCATAATTAAGAAAATCAGTTTTTAACTTCAGTAAAGATTTATTTTATTCTAAAAAGGAACTGTATCATGAGTTGACAGATCTGTGCATACTTTGTATCAGTATAAAATTGTATTCTTAACGAACTCATCTCAGATAGAGGTACCAGGTACGGTTAAATTTTCCTGAGGTTGGTACAAATGTCAAAAACTCTAGAAGCAAAATTATTGTAAAATTTAGTTAATAAATATAACAGTTCCAGAAATGTCATAAAAAATCATTTAGAGCTAAGCATGTATAAAATAAAGGTAAAATAGTAATTATTAATTGATACAATAAAGAAGTCGCATCTGATTAAAGTTTACCGCAAAATTTCAAGTATTTAATAATCTGGAACTCCTTCGAATGTTTTAAAAACTTTGATAATTGCAGTTCAGATATAAGAAGCAGTATAAATTACTGTTAGCAGTACAATTAGCAAGTACTATAAAATTAACATATAAACTACGATACCTAGAACAGCCACAGAGGTCATTTTGACTGTCCTTACGAGACTTAATTTGTAATTTTACAAAAATCTGACGTGGATACCATACAATTTCCTTGTACACCTATTAAATTATACACATTGTTTGCTGCACTTCATTTAAACTTATTTCCTCAAATTATTCTAACTTAATTTACCGATCCCTCAAGGAAAGTTGGAAATGACAACAAAAATTGCAAATACTGAAATTACATATCTCAGTCAATTTTTGTCTTACAACAGTCAAACTTCTTGAATTTTTGTTCTTTCATAACGAGTATAAAATTGTCCCAAATATAAGTATAGGAATTAGGAGACCGCATTAAAAGTTAGATCTCGTTATTTGTCCAAAATTAATTCTTTTAATTTGAAATTGCCAAAACATGAATGTTTTCGTCATTTAAAACACTTCTGAAGGTGCAAGTATATGACTATAACCAATGATTACAAAAATAAAGGCTATCTAAAGGGTATACATATTTTTAGTACTTCTGATTGCAATAAAAAAGAGAAGTGCACAACTAAATGTTGTAGCAGTTCTATACACAAAATTGGCTACTGCTAATGTTTTTGAGTTATGTGAGATACATACGTACGTACAGATGTCACAAAAAAAGTCGTCCCCTTTGGATTCATTTTACAATCCGTTTTGAATAAAAAATCCTTTATTCTGCTGGTACACGCAGACATTACCCAAAAAGATAGCCAAGATTGGATTAGGGAACAATCAAAATGGATATTTCCATTGAAATCTGAAACCCGAAATTTTTTGAGATTACAATACTTCCTTTACTTAATACAAGGAAGTAAAAAAAAGTATTAAAACTTCTTAATAAGAAGAAAAATTGAATATCAATTTACAAGATGCACTGTAAAATATTTTTAACGTTTTATAAGTCACAAAATATATTAATTGATGCAAATATATATGCATATATATATATATATATATATATACGAACAGGATGATTAAAAAATATCTGAAAAGAATGTACACAAGGTAACTAAAATAAGTAGATTTTGCAATGAAATGTGTGTGTGGATATGACACATTGAGATAGTACAGTGCATTGTTATATAGTAGATATAAGTACCTACTGGAGTAAATCATCATACCCTGTACGTGAACACGAAGCCCACAAATATGCATAAAAAACAACTACTCAAAGGAGGTAATGAAAATGCCTTTATAGTTACAGTTGCTCAGTTTCTCTCTACAGCCCTGTACATGAAACGCATTTCTGTGAGTTCTGCATTAGTGTAGCATATTGTTTTAAATTGACAACAAGAATGACAATTTATGCCAGCAGAAAGTTATTATCTGCCATTCAATAGTGCTTGTACCACACCTCAATGCACTATTTCCATAAACATATTCCATTACAAAGTCTGCTTATTTCGATCCCCATTACTCACCTTTATTTTTTCATCCCATATATCTGCTCACACATGCAAAATAAATAAAAATTGACTATTAAAGTTTGAAAACATAGTAAATTATTTTAAGGATTTAAAAAAAAAATTCAGATACGGTTTTATAATGCATGAGAAACAAGTATTGTTATTTATGGAAAAAAAATACATCCTCTTTACAAATCAACTCGCTGTTTTTATAACTACCTGTCAGAAGGAAAAAAAAATTTAACTATATGCACAAAACCTTACAGTATTGCTTTGCTGAATAGCATTTTTCAATGCATCTTTACTTTAATTCAATTCAATGAAGAGACATATATTTTAATAAAATGTGTAAGTTTTCAATGTATGGCATTTCTATATCAGCTCTGTAGGCACAAAAAGTGATTTAAAGGTAAAATATTAAATTACCAACATATCTTTACATTTTAAGAAAACATTTACATTTAACTCAGAATTTTCCAAATTAAAATCAGAAATTATAATTATTGCATAATAAGAATTCTAAATTCAAATATTTCCTTACAATGGTAGGAAAAATTTTGCCTATGTTGTTTGAGTACTTTATTTTAATACACAGACATTTAAAACCTAATAGAAAAGTCTCATATTTTACGTATGCATTGTTGAATATAATAATACTAAGAAAGTTCTTGTCCATCTTTTGATATTTCCATGCAAAATTCTATTCAAGCTGCTGGTCTTTTTTCTTAATAGATAAATATTTTTGAAATTACAAAGCCCTTAGATTTATTTCAGAGCAGGAATCAGTGATGCAATTGCGATGACTTGAACTCGCCTTTTGATTGCTAACCAGACATGAATCAAATTACAACACAAGGGCATGCACCAAGTAAGGAGAAAATTCTTTACATTTTTCTTCACTTAAATGGCAAATCGAAAGAAGGGGACGGTGAAGCCATTTTTACAGCCATTAAACTTTCTTCAGAGCATTAAACACACAAAAATCAACTATGTTCTCAACATTTGAACTCCACACCTCTCAAATACTACCTTGACATGCTTTCAACAACACTATGAAGAAGTGTGAAGATATATGTAATTCCTAACAAAAATTTCTCTACAAGCTTTTGGATAACATTCCTCGAAAGTTGCAAAGTTTGTTTGGTTTATTTGGTTACAGCAAAGCACACTAGAGCTATCTGCCTAAGAGAAGAGATGCCTTCGTGCAGGACTTTCTAAGAGAAACTGGCTTGTACACACATTAGACATGGAGAAAACCATGAAAATACCTATTCACCAGTATTCGAACTCTGGACCAAACTACCAGTATTCAGCAACGTGTACTGCTCGGCCACTAGTGGGCCATTTGCAGAGCCTATCAGCATCATTTTTACCTTTCTTGTGGTTCAAATGTCAAAAGTTTTTTTTTCTTTTTCATTTTCTTTTTTATTTTTTAAGAAGAAATTATTATGTTCTTGAAATAATGAAAAAAATTCAGTTGAAAGAATCAGATTTTTAATTAAAAACATTTTGGGGCTCATATTTACATAGTTATTAGCATTACTTTCTACTTGTTTTCTTTTTTGGCTGTAGTTCTAGCTTTTTGCTATTGTTGTTGTTTCTAAGAGACAATATAACCACCAAAATCAAAACCTGAATCAAAGCAAGATATAAAAACTGAAATAAAGGTTAGAATTAAAATTTTAATAAAACTAAAATTGAATTTCCTAAAATGCGGAACCGGAATTAATATTACCTTCAAATTTGCACATTTTGAGATTAAGAACACATTGAAAATTAATTTATTGGTTTTACAAGAAATGCTTTTTTTTTTTTTTTTTTTTTAAGTCCAAAAATAATATAAATTTACAGAAAATCTTGAACTTCTATTTGATGCATAAAAGTTGGCAAATCTAAACTACCTGAAATGATACAGTTTTATATAAAAGACATTGAGAAGTTTTAATATCTTAACAACAGAACTTAGGATTGTTACAAAAAATTTCCTTTACTTAATTCTTTACAAATACAGTAAATAAACTAGAAGGTTAATTTAAAATCTATGAATTATCACATGAAGTTTAATGATAAATTGATTTTAACAATTCTTTTCAATGACAAAGCAATGTACTTACAATGACAAGTTTAATACTGTCCGATTCGAACACTTAACAAAAATAATACAAAAAATGTCTTAGCAGGTACATGTAAAAATATAAATCAACATGCACTATTAAATAAACGGCCTTTGAATGAAATTTGTAGCTTTTCGAGTCTTTGCTTAAATACTGCCATCATCATCACTAAGCTCAAATACCTAAAAAAATAAAAGAATACAAATTAAAACTATTATGTCAAATATTTCTACACAGAAAAGTTTCCTCAAATGTTTAATAAAATTCTGAACTATTTTAGGTTATTATTTAGCATTGTCTAAAAAATGGCACAAAACACAATAAAAAATTATAAAAAATTCATTTATGAAAAATATGGTGGTAAATTATTTAAAGAGATGTTTTGTAAAAAATACTTTAATTCAGTGATTTGAAATAAAACAAGTGGCTTAAAATCTGTTTTTCATTTTTAAGCAAATAAAATGCTGCTAGCCACACAAGCAAATATTACACTGCTGGTCATTAAAACTGCAACATCATGAAGGAAAGTAAATACTGCATGTAAACAGTATGGCATGAAGACAAAATGATTAAATTTGTAAGCATTTTGGAGGTTTACAAGGGAGCTAAATAAATAGAAACAGCTGCCAACCTGAAAGCTAAAACAGCCCTTACCCCATCAGGCATGGAATCAAACTGGGCTTGGATGACAGAGATGGGCAATTTATTCAATGCTGTTTCAAGTCTATGCTACACTTTATCAACTGTATTAGCTGGAGAAGGGTGGCTGACCAGTTTCTCAGCAACCCATGACCAGATGTTTTCGATGGGTAACAGATCTGGAGACCATGCACGCCAGGGCAGCAATCGAATACCCTGTGTATCAAGACGTGCAACATGTAGACTTTCATTATCTTGTTGGAATATGATATTTGGGGGCCTCAAAGATAAGGTGCAACCACTGGACAAAAGATGCCAGAAATGTACTCATCTGTATTCAAATTACCGTCGATCCAAACTAGAGATGTGCGTGTATCCAATAGCTGCCCAAAGCATCACACCAGGTGCAGGGCCCATATACCGATATCCAATGCAAGCAGGCAACATATGGTCTCCTTGGACACTCCAGACATGTATACGGTCATCAGAATACTGCACATAGAACCGAGGTTCGTTTGAAAAGGCAACATTATGCCACTCTGTACACAGCTTTGTTGTTTGGCGCACCAAAGTTGCTGTCTCTCTATGTTGCACATTTAAGGAAAGCCGAAGTAATGGTCAACCCGCTGATGGTCCATGCTGCTGCGAACATCGATGTACTTATGAGCTGATACCGGGCGGGGCTGCAAACATCCCCATTTCCTGACTAATGGTCCGTGATGCAATCATACGGTTTTGCAGGGGTGACCTCACAATATGTCAGTCCTCTCTGACATTAGTCATGGGAGGGTGTTGAGATCCTGCATCCTATTCAGTATGATACTCAGAAATCCACTGATTCCATATTTGCATTACAGTATCTGGATATCAAACCAGTGGGGCTGGTGATATCGCAGAACAATAATCTACACTTTCAATAGACAATGATTCTGCCTCTATCAAATTTTGAAGCTTGCTAGTAAGCATTTCCTATTCTTATTCGAGGCATAACATGATATTCTGAGCAAACTCCAACCTTATAAAGAACTTTCTGAATGAGAAACCCCTACACAGCTTTTCTTTCATGCAGTGCTTCAGATGTCATTTCACCCTCCTGCGTCATCTAAATTCGCGGAAATACTAATCATTTGCATATCCCAACTTTTTCTTCCTTTTATGTGACATTGAGGTTCATCAGATCATTCCTTCCTGATGTTGCAATTTTAATGACCAGCAGTATATAATATACCTAATATTAAAAAAATTTCAATTTTGTTTTAGGGAGAAATTTATGTAGCATGAGAAAGGTACCATTTAAAGAAAATAAAGTACATAATTTGCAGCATATTTTTTATGTGGCAGCTTTCAGTTACACAAACAATTTATACTTTATATTTTATAAGAAAAACAATCCTGTTACTACTAAATGTGACCCTTTCAAAATTAATTAATAAAAATAAATTAATGTTTTTTGCAGCTGCACAAGCCTAATTCCTTAAATTAACATTTTAATATACTTACATCTTCCATATTTATACTATTCATCAATTCTGCTAATCCTGTGATTTCTTCAAGATAATTTGGATCACAGAAGACTTTGAGAAGAAAATCAAATCCATTTTTTTCATACATCTGCAAGACCTATCAAATTAAAGAAAAATTAAGCACCTTTATACATAAATCATACAATGTTTGTAAGTGGGTAAGAGTGCTTAAATTCAAAGAACATGTGATTAATCACACTTTTGCTGGTTATCCATAGTCACAGATAATACACTATTACCATGCTAATGGGTAATTTCCTGCAAATTTCATTATCAGTTTTTTATATAATTGTGTGGAAAACTCAGGCTACAGGAAAATATCTTCTTGCATCATTCTTAAAAAATTCACTCAGTAATACAGAACAAAACGATTAGCCAATACTTTATTTTTGAACTAATGAACAAGATGGTAAACCGTTGAGCCACATCATCACAATAGATCAAATATGAATACCTGACATAATTTCTGAATGGAAGCAGCAGTCTTTGGATTGACAACACATAACAATAAACAATAACAATGAAATACATGAAAATGAATAAAAATTAAATTCAAACAGCAATCTCAACTTCTGAAGTATGACAACTATGTTCTCTGAGAGATACACTGCTTTGCTGATGAACTTAATAAAACAAACAGTAGCAATAATCACTGCTATATATTATAAGAGTTTAGAAAATTTCACTACACAGTGCAGAATAAATGCAACAGTAGGCTGCCTGCCAGAGTATTATTGCTTCATAATTATTGCCAGAGTACTATTGCTTCATTTGAAGCCTCATACTGCTGCTCAAACACAAACTCTGATCAAAACATTTATTTGGCTATCAACAATTGGATCTCTCTTATAAAACACTAATCTGGTAAATTTAATAAGTTTACTTTTGGGAAACATTTCTAAATTGACACAGAAATGAAAACAACAGCTCAGAAACAGCCATACCTCAGCATAGAACTCTACAAAAAAATTTCGCATATGCTTTGACGTTTCAATACTTAAAAAGTATGCAGAATCTGAACAAAAAAATATATTCAAAATGTTTAATAGTTTATTTTTTGTACTAAAATTATCCTTACATAAAAATTCATGGGATTCTTTAAAACGCTTTGTCAGATATGAAATACTTTCATCACAATAAATTGCAAATGATTTCAGAAACATGTAAGGTAATTATGAATTTTTTTTAAAATGGAAGAAATTTTATTGCAGGGATATATTAGACTTTTAGGAATAATTGAAGAGGTATTATCTAAAAACAGTCTGAGAACCACTAATCAGAGTATTTAACTGAAGTTCTGATAAATTTACATATTACCTCTGAATTAAACATTTTCAAGAGAAATCAAATTAATTTTCACCATTTAAATCTAAAATTAAATTTAAAAAGTGATAAAAAATATTTTTTAATTTCTTTCTAATATGAAATTATCTATAGTTAAATTAATTAAAATATTTAAATAAAGGAAAATGAACACATGCATTAATTTATCAAATATTGAGAAACACAGTTTTATTTATTTTTATTTCTAATACATTTAATTTTTAAATAATAAACAAAATCATTATTTTCATTTTCTTGCTCACCACTCAGAAATATAACTAAGTACAGAATTGCTTGAATATGGATTGCATTTTAAGTTCAGGTTCCACAAATATATTTAACTGCATCCAACTTGATTAGCGTTCGTTTTTATTGCAGTATCTAAAATTATAGAATTTCTCAAGTCATATATTAGTAAATCCTATGAAGTTGTTTTATTAACGTTTAAATAGGAATTACTAGGCAGTCAGAATAATTATTGCCACTCAGTGATATATCTACAATTCTCAGTTGCTGCATATAATGAAATATTTCAACTTTACGTTTGGAAAATTCAAATTATTTTCTTTTAATTCAGAAAGCTGTTTCATTTTCTTTAGAATCCATGCCACAGCAATTTTCATTCCTGTTTGTTACTTTTCCATAACTGAACCTAGAGCTGCATCCAAGCGTAGGAGGCTTATCTACCCGAAATTACAGCATTTGTTTTATACTTTACTAGCGGAAGTACCCGATGGCACTCAAGTTAGATTGAGAGTAATGTATCTAACAACAGAGAGTATGACACCGCTGAATCCTTCTCTAATAATGATGCAAAAAGTACACTTCACAGTCATACATTTTCTAGTCTGCAATATGGAACCCATATAAAAAACTTTGATAGAAAAATAAGCTAACTCTCTCTTATTATATCAGCAGCAATGGCCTGCAGTTTTTAATGATTTTCGTCCTTCTAATCAAATAGTCCTAAAAGCTTAAGTTCCATCTAATATTTCACCTAGATTCAATTTTAGTCAATTAAATGTGGCAAAAAATTTATTATAATTGATCAGAAATCAAAAACGCAAACACACAGCCAGACATTCTTCTTTACATGTATAGATTTTGTAAAAGTTACAAATTTTTTATTAACAAAATCTACGATTTGAAAGCGAGCAGTAGCAACACTTTTCCAAACAAAGCCTTTTTATCTCCAACACCTGAGACTGTTGCCACTCAAAAAAATGAGTGTGAAAATGAGCACTTTCAGAGTTTTTAACTAGTATTTTGGCTTACTAAAGTCCTATGAAGATGAGAATAGTCGAAATGGCTTCACACGAATTTTTGGAATCAGGAATAATGTATTTAATGTTTAACAATGCTATTTTTATTTCAGCGTAAAACTTAGAAATTTGTTATTAACAAACTCTTATGATTTGAAAGCGAGCAGTGGCAACAACTTTCGAAATAAAGCAGATTTTCATCTCCAGTTTGCAAGGCTGTTGCCACTCGGAAAAATGATAGCAAAAATGATAATTTTTCCAAGTTTTTAATTAATATCTCCCCTCCTTTTTTTTTTTTTTTTTTTTTTTTTTTTTTTTTTTTTTTTTTTTTTTTTTTTTTTAAGTGGACGTTGACCTTTTTCCGGACCCAGAAAAAAACTGTAGTGCTTTATTTTTATTCAAATTTTCATGTATGTTCTTTGTGTTAGACTGTTAACCACCAAATTTTAATTTATTTAATTGTTGTAAATTGTAAATATTGTAATGGTTTTTTTTTAAATTTTATGGAATGCTGCATGACTTAAATCATTAATAATTTATAATCTTAATTTTGAAATTTCATAACTCCTATTTACATACAATACAAATATATTTTATCACAAAAATATTTCCCATTATTAAATCACAAAAATATTTCCCATTATTTAAATTTCAGGAATTGAAATCACAAAATTTTAATTATATCAATAAAACAACTGTCAGTTTCGAATACAATACAATATGTTAACTTGATTCAATTAATAAGGTTTTAAGAAGCTAGAAATACTTCAAAATTAATAAAATGAAGAGCTTGCCTTATCAGAACATGCAGTGCATCTATCAAATGCTTTACTTGTCAAAATGGCATTTTGAAATTTATCTAAGTGTCCCCGAATCTGATGGGGAACTATACCAAGATCAGTGGTCAGTTCATCACATGAAGTATCATCAGAGCCAGAAGTACTTGCTGGAGCTAATGCCCTAAAATAGATTTATAAATTTTAAGATAATAGTCATAAATTTTTAATTCATTTGCTTACAACTAATTATACATTTTACTACTAAAATTAATAAAATGAACGAGTTCAGCAAAGCATAACTCAAAGACGAACGAGGATCAGATAATAATGCACAATTGGAAACACCATCATCATGTGCAAATGAACACATAAGATGAGGAATGAAAGACCAACTTGAAAGCGAAGATTATTATTTCATTTCCCAAAATATAACAATTATGATATTAAGAGAAGTCACAGAAGGTCACCAAGTGCAATACATGCTTGACAGCACTGCAAGGTATCACGGATGTTTTGAAATATTCTAAGTCTCGCAATAAGATTCTTCTCAATGCCCAAGGTTATATTGTACAGCAGAACTTACACATAAAACCAGAAAAAATATCAATACAGGATAGGTTTCATGAAGGCGAATATACAGATCATCATGCCCCATTCATTCAAATGTCCCATTTAAGTGCCCCTGAATGGCACAATTGAAATGGGCTGTGTTCCCATAATGCCGGTTCATCAACAGTTTAAGCAAGACTCCCTCTAAACAAAAAATCTTAAAGTTATGTTTATACAAATGAAGAGGCAAGCGATATAAACCTATCAAATGGTCTCCCAAAAGCAGGGTCAAACATTAACATCAAACTGATTACGCTGCAGTTATGCGCATTGTAGCAACCTTCCCTGGTGAAGTATGCCTCGTGTATGAAAAAAGTCCAATAAGGAGCTCCCTGTACCCTTTTTCAGGTGCTATTGAACAAAAATAACCTTCTCAGAATAACTGTCAAGCTGCAATAGCTATACATGCTGCTCATGGCATGGGTGCAATTGGTTCGAGTACAGGATCATCCAGATGGTGGTTTGGGAAAGATCAAATTGAGTAATAATTGCTTGTTTTCTGCATGAAAAAGCACCATCTATTTAATTACAGACATTTATGCCGTTCATCCATAATTCATGGCATGTTTCTTGAATGAGACCATCTCCCATAATTTTTTATGCAACAGTTCCCACATTTAATAGTTTGGAATAACAGCTCATCAGACAGTCCTCATACAAGTGCGTAGTGGTTCGACCATTACTATTAGCAGTTCCAAATGCGGGATGCGTAGCTGCTAACTCTGTAGTTGTGAAACCTTTCATCATACTAATTCTGTGAGCAGCTGCCCACAGAGTTAGTGATTAGTAACTGCCATAACCAATGAGCCTTGATTCGAATCCTGGAGAAGGCACGGAAGAATATAAAGTCTGTGTGGAAAAGGGGAACTCAAAATACATGGTGAGCTGAAATCTTCTTGAGAGGTTGGTGGTAAGGGAAGAGGAATGGGAGACCATTGGACTGCCAGTGTGTTCTTCTCAAAATGATGGTGGAACTGCACAGTTAGCATAGCAGACTATACATGTATGGCCAATGGTGAAATTCTGGTATCCTGCACATTTGTACCTGTACCTCTGTAAGCAACCACCCCAGAAAGTATTGTGGTTAGTAATACTGACTGCCATACTGATGAGTCTGGGCTTTTAAATCCCAGAAAGGGCATGGATGGTTGCAAGTGCATAGTGTTTATGCAGCAAAAGAGCACTCAAAATGCACAGCGAGCAGAAAGTCCTCTACTGTGGTAAGGAAAGAGGGTTTAGAAAATAAGGTAACTATGTTCACTTTACTATCTACAGCATAAGAAAGTTCCTTTTCTATTATTTCTTTAAACGCTGTTTATTTCTAAACTAAAAATTGTGACACTAGGTGCATACTCTTGCAACACATCTCTTCCTGAGAAAAAATTTCTTTCAGCTGTTAATGAACTCCTCAATGAATGATCTGATAATAAATAGTTTCAAAATTATTGGCATTTAAGAAATTCTCTGCAAAAATTGGTAGATTTCTGCAATTTCAGTATTTTAAATATCTGCAGTTTCCCTGCTTCCTGAAAAACTTTTTCAACATCAAATCTTGTGCCAAACTTTTCTAAAAATTCTCACTCAATTACCAGTCTGTGTTCACTCAATTCTTAAGTCTGTGTCAACGAAATATTCACAAGAAAATCTATATATATACAAATATTCAGCATGAAGGACGACATCCAGCCACACACATGCTAGTGAAGGACACATACAACCTGCTACTAGAACAAAAAAAGCCATTTAGAAGAAAGACTTCATAATAAGTAATCATATTATAGTGATTATTATGACTGTTCATTTCACAAAGTTCAGTGCCTTTCTGAGATAAATCCAAGTTTCTCTACAGAAATAAGATGAAAATGCTGATTAGATAATTTCATGTTTAGGGATTACCTCATAGAAAATAACCTGTTTTTGAGGAATATATTGTACAAAAATTATTTCTGTTAATTTATTATATTTTTCATCACATCCACAAATTTAGTACAGGATTTTTAAAAATCACCTTTTTGGATGCTGAAAAATGCTAACCATGAGTTCTACAACAAGAGCAGCTGCCATAAATGATACACCAGGCCTAGTCACAGTGCACTGCTGATCAAGGGTTCTATCATGTGTTGACTAAAGAAGCAAAAAAATTATACTTTTTATTAATAATAAATTTAAAATAGATATCTATAGCACATTCCTCTTTTTGCAAAAATGTCACAGAAAATTTTAAACAAATAACAACCAAAATAAATTTTTGTAGCAAATCTTTGTTAGTTAGTTAATATATATATTAATAAATAAAAAAAAATCAATCACTAAAAATACTAAATTATATTTTAGACATTACAATATCTTACAATATTCACATTTAAATTCACTGGAAATTTGATTAACAATACCATGCATATATAGAGATTTTAATTTACTGGGTCTTCAAAGTTGAACCGAAAATGCTTATCTTTTATTTATCCTATAAGTATCCTAGGTTTACAGGGTGTATCAATACAGCAGTGACAAACTTTTAGAACAGATAGAGTATACCTAGATGATGGGAACTCACACAGGAATGCATGGTTGGAAATGCTTTCCTGGCGCAGTAGAGATGACACAAAAGTCAAGAAAGAAAGGGTACAAACAAGGTGAGAAAACATGTTTATTATTCGGAATACAGAAGAAACAACATAAAGAGACAATGATCATCATCAAAAAAGATGTTCGAAATTAACGACCCGGACCACGATGCAGGAACCGTGCGTCATGCATCTTCCATGGAATCTTTCATTCGTGATGCAGATCTTCCATGTGCCACAGAAGTGAGACCTGCATCACAGTCCGGAATTGTAATTTTGAATTTCTTTAATGACGATCATTGTTTGCTTTTGTTCTTATTTGTATGCTTCCACTGTACTAAACATAATAAAACATGTTTTGTCTCACTGTTTTTCTCCTTCTCTTTTTGTATTTGTCTTGTCACCACTGCGCTAAGAAAGCATTTCTGACCATGCATTGCTATGTGATTTCCCATCGTCTAGGTATACTTTATCTCTCCAAAAAGTTTGTCGACACTGTACTGATACACCCTGTATACCAAAGCTAATACAATATTCAAAATACTTTTTACTTTTAGAGGATTCAGTCTACACAAGGGAGAAAATTAACTTTATTTTGCTCATTGCAGATATTTTTAATTATCTTGTTTACTTTACCTTAACTATGTATGGGAGATCACTTCTCTAATATTGAGATTTATGTTGCTACTTTTTAATGACTAACCAAGAAAATAATTTAAACAATGAGGACATTTTAAAATTGCAAAATATAATCAAATTTTTTAATAACTTTGAAAATTCATATTTCAGTCATTTATAGATATGTATTTGTTAATATTTAAAAAACTATTTCCTATAATTATTTTTGTAGGTATAAGACAATTTAATAGCTGCAAGCAATACACATTTTACTAAATTTATTAATTACCTATAAAAATTTTAACAAAACTGATAACATACATTTCCTGGTGCCACAATATCATTGCAGAAATAACATCCCAAATCACCACCCTCAATTATTTTTGGACAGAAATCATCACCACAAGCTCCAGTTTCAAATTTCTTCATTCCATGCCTCATTATCAAAAAAGTATCAAAGCCCAGTGCAGCATTTAAGACAATCTGGCCCAAAAAAAATTTTTAAAATGCAATATTTTCACATAACTTAAATTCGATAAATTGAAAAACTTATCATTGTACATGACACTATAAAAGAACTATACGATGATAAAACAACTATAATATGACTCTACAAATACTATAAACTATATATGATAAAATAACTATAATATGACTCATAAAAATACTATATTATAGAACAAAAATAACAGTATATATATTAAAGAAAACTGAAGAATATCAAGATATAAGATACATACTGTTTGGCCTCAACACAAAAGAATGTTAAAAAAGTTTTGCCTTGAGTAAGCAATTTTATTATACGAAAGCAAATACCCTCCTAATTCAAAGATATAATAAACAGAGCCATACTTAGATATTACTTTACCCGAGAAAAAGAATAATAAGTATGTATAATCCAACACACAATTCAGAATCAAATGCATGCAATTTTTCATTTATTATATTTTAAGACAACTCTTATGATGGTATCACAGCATTAAAACTGTTATAGCAATTTTTAATACTAATTTTGATCCAAAAAATAATAACTGCACATATGATGATTTATGTTTTTAAAAATAAAAAAAAAAAAATTAAGTCAAAAAAATTTACACAACAGTATAATACAAAAATATTGCATTAATTTCCAAGGTATTTTATTTAATAAGTATTCTTGATTTTACTGAAGTGAAAATGACAGTTCTTTTTTGTATATTTTCATGTCATTGTGAAAGATGAATATCCATCAAACCTGACAGTACCACAGTGCCAACCATTTCTTACGATACAATTACCTTTAGCGATTCTTTGCAGCACTTTAATGGTCTCAATTTTAACAGTTACTGTCAACAGCAGGCAGCTTGTCATTCGATCATGCCTAGCAGGACCATCTTTCAGAAAGATGATATCTAGCTGGATATAGAATAATCATCAAAATATTATCTGCATTGTTTTATAACCCAACTTAATTGCTAGATCTTCAAAGTTCATCAAAGTAAACACATATGGGAGAACTTCTAAAATAACTGTGTGAAACCTGGAAGAAAATCTGGAGAACTGCATTCATTTTTAGCATGAGTGCATGCTATATCAAATATACCGTTTCTAAAGACAGCTGAAAATCAAACAAATACATATTGATTCTGGTACCTAATTCTGATAAGCCATCTAACTAATTGCCTTCCATCTTTGACTTTAAAACATTATTTACCATTCTATATGCACATTTGTGTTTTACCACAGAGTGCCTAATTTAAAAATAATAATTGTCAGAAGAAGTTCAAACTCACCTTTCCTTTAGATGCTCCTATTAAAGATGGTAACCATCTACTTTCTCGTGTATCCATCAAAAGAAATATCACATCATGTGAATCTATTAATTCTTCTATTTGCTTTACATCTGATCGAATATTATCTACCACTATAATCATAAAATAAAATAATTTCACCACAAATTTACAAAACCATTGATTTTCAAAGTTAATATTTAAAGAGAACATATAATCAAAAAAAGCACATAAAAAATTTAGGTGATTGAAAGTTCTATTAGCATTGCTTAACTATTACCCAAAAGAAAAACATGTGACCAAATTTAAATTCAAAAAGGCAAATTTAAAAGAAATATGCATATTGAACAAAGCATTCAGACTGAAAGCACACATAAATAGACACTTCTGTAAATACAGAATGCATTATGGATATAAATATTTGTGGTTAGTTGATTGTATTTTGATTGTATTCTGTGTATATTTACTATGTTACACATTTATTTATTTGCTTATTTAATGCATTCAATGTAATTACTTTAACGTGTATTTTTATTTAATCAACTTTGTCATCATGTTTATGTTTGTATGAATTTAGCATATAAAGTTGTAGGTCTTGTAATTCTGAATCACCACTGAAAGCAGCTCTATTAGAAACTGGGATACAAGCAGAAAAACGTCTAATAGATATCAGCAACATTTGACAGCTTTCTGGAAATTTTCACTAAAATATATTTCACAGCCACAGGAGCAATTTTCACTATAGCTTCTGGAAGCTATAACAGCTTCTGTTGCAATTCAACTCTTGCTGAGATCCGATGGCTGAGTGATGTCATCTCGAACTATGAACTCTCGCTAGAGATCACGAGAACTCGGAACTGAGAAGTCGCACGCTGCGTCGTGCGAACATTTAAACCCTTTTCATTATGTAATATTCTGTAACCTGTTTGCGTCTTTATTAAATATGTTTGTGTAAAGAAAGTTTATCATTTATGGATTATCCCTCTCAAGATTTTGCAGATGGAGTTGCACAGAGGACAACAACCAATGGCCCTGGCAGAACCCATTGGAACAAGGTAAGCAGTTTTGTTTTACCTTGATTAATTAGTTAGAAGTAACGATAACGATAAGGATATAAATAATAATATTGTGGCGCCATAACGTGGGGCCATTGGGTTGAATTTGAACTGAAATTTAATAGATTTTGCTTAAGCAAAAACATGGATTTAGAAAAATTAAAAAAGAAACGATCTGCTATAAGAGCAGTAGTTACGAGGCTAATAAATAAGATAGAAACAGAAATTGCTAATGAGGGGGATAAAAATGTAATTGAAGAAACGGTTGCTCAGTTAATTAGTAAAGAAGAAGAACTAATCTTAGCGGATAATGGTATTGAAACTTTAATTGATGTAACAAATTTAGAAGATGAAATAATGTCTAGAGAAGAGTATAAAAGTAAAATTATTATTTGGAAATTATGCGCGAAAAGATATGTAGATACTAATCCACATAGCGCTAATTCTACTTCATATGGAACTGTCACTGAATCGCAGAACAAAATTCAACTCCCCAAATTGACACTGGAAACATTTTCTGGAAAGGATGTGTGCAGTTGGCCCGGGTTTTGGGCACGATTTGAGACAGCGTACACGAAAACGAAAGTCTACATGCGGTAGATAAATTTAAAATCAATTCTTACTTCCGATGCAGAAATTGCAATACAAGGGTTGACGTTAACAGCCGAGAATTACGAGAAGGCTGTGAAAATATTAAAAGATCGCTTTGGATGCAAAGAACTAATAATAGATACCCATATGAACAATTTATTAACTCTGACTCCGGTTAAAAGGTCTTGCGATGTGACAGCACTTCGAAAATTATATGATCGTTGTGAAGTACAAATTAGAGGATTAGAATCGTGTAATATTTTACCGGATTCGTACAGTACCTTATTGTATCCGATATTAATAAAGGTGATTCCGAATGATTTAGCACTAGAATTTAATAGGAAATATGAAGATGATAATCAGACAAAAATTACGAATTTGCTCAATTTTCTAAGAAAAGAAATAGAAAGTCGAGAACGTACAGGATTTTTAATTAAGCCAACAGATTCTGAAGTCACTGAAAAGAAATCCCATTTTGAAAATAAGCGGCAGTTTCGAGAACGTTTTCGAGACAGCGAAAGAAATCGGGATTATAATAAGGGTAGAATTCCTTCAGCGGCAGCGTTAAACACATCACTATCTAATAGCTGTTTATTCTGTTCTGAAAATCATACGTCAGAATCATGTCAAAAAAACTGTGCCAGAAAAAGGAAGCGTTAAAAGCGAAGGGGAATTTGTTTCGTGTGTGCCTCAAAAGACGCCATTTAGCTGAGGATGTGCAAATCGAAACATACATTGATACACTCGAATGCGTCAGACAAGAGTCCCGTCCAAAGGGGCAGTAGTCTCTTCTGTTTCCGATTGCGCAACAGCAAATAACTCATTTCTTTTCTTCTGACAGCACGAGCTGAAATTATAAAACACAGGCAATTGGCGCCAGCAAAGCGTTCGCTTGTTGTTTGATTTAGGATCGCAGCGAACATTTATTAGAGAGGACATCTGTAAGAAATTAAAACTTCCCGTTATTGGAGAAGAAAAAATAAAAATATTCTCTTTCGGTTGCACGACGTCTGAAGCGCAGAATGTTAAAAAAACCAGGCTCATTTTGCGTAATTCGAAGAATCGATATGAAATCAAAATAGAAGCTTTAATTATTCCTGTCATTAATGGATCACATATTCATTCCCCTAGAAATGAAATAGTTAATCTTATTAAAAAACAGGGCATACAACTTTCCGATGAATGGGGACAAGGGAATAAACCGCCGAAAATTTCTTTGCTGATAGGAGCGGATTTTTATTGGAAAATAGTTACGGGTAAGGTTCACAGACTGTCTAATTCCTTAGTAGCGGTTGAAACAAAATTGGGTTGGACCATTAGTGGAACAGAAAGGGCTTACGGAATTTTCCCAAGTAATGTGAATACTATGAAGGTTGTGGTTCATAATAATAAAGATACACAGAATGAATCACTGTCTAGGTTGCTGAAGAATCTCTGGGAGCTCGATTCTATGGGGATAAATTATGATTCGGATAAGGAACTCGAATTAGAAGATAATTTAGTTTTCGATAATTTCAAAAGATCTGTGAAATTTGAAAACAATCGTTATATTGTTCGCCTTCCCTGGAATCATAATTCAAATGAGCTAGGAGATAATCTGGAGATTGCTAAAATTAGATTTAAGAGTTTAAGTCGTAGATTTCAGAATAATCAACAGTTCTATGACAGATATCGCGAAGTAATTGATAAGTACTTAAAAGAAGGAATCGCCGAAGAGACTAACATTGAAATTGGACCAAAAACGTATTTTATGCCGCATCAAGCCGTTATAAGAGAAAACAAGGAAACTACAAAACTCCGTGTGGTTTTTGACGCTTCGTCACATGCGGAGAATTGTTTGTCATTAAATGACTGTTTACATTCAGGTCCTAAGATGTGTCCAGACATACTGGAATTGCTCCTTAAGTTCCGTCAAAATCGAATTGCGTTTACAGCTGACATCGAACAAGCATTCTTGCAGATTTCTCTTGCTGATGAAGACAGAAACGCAGTCAAGTTTCTATGGAACGATGGTGAATTAAATGGAACCAAAATAAAGGCTCTTCGTATGACAAGGGTAATTTTTGGAGCAACATCTAGTCCGTTTCTTCTCAGAGCAACTCTTAATGTACACGTTGACAAATACAAGTTACAGTATCCGAACGTATTTTCCATGCTAACTGAAAATATGTATGTTGACGATTTAATCGCTGGAGCAGATGATAGAGAATCAGAAGCATTCGAGGAATCGGAACATATTAAACGCATACTGAAAGAAGGTGGATTTAACATGCGGAAGTGGAAAACGAATGAAACGAATTTACAAAGGGTATGGAATGAAGAAGATTTTTCACACGATTCGACTTGTTCTAAAGTATTGGGATACATATGGAATAGGTCAAATGATACATTTTTGATAGAAATTGAAGATTTGGTAAAAGATGCCAAAAGGATAGATAACATACCAACTAAAAGGGAAATCTTGAGATTTGTAGGACGTTTCTTTGATCCACTGGGGTTTTTAAATCCATACACCATTCGAGCTAGGATTTTATTACAAGATTTATGGGAACAAAAGATAGCATGGGACACTGAAATACCAGAAAATCTCAGAAAGAATTGGCAAAGCTGGTGTGATGAATTAGCTCATATTTCTAGTTTGGAAATACCAAGACATCAGTTTGCAGGTGCTGGGAAAAGGGATATAAAGGATGGTTTACAGTTACACTGTTTCACAGATGCGAGTCAGAAGGCCTATGGGGCTGTTCTGTATTTTCGTTATTCGAAAAATGGAGTCATTCATACAAGCTTCATTACATCAAAATCATGAGTAGCACCTTTGAAAAAAGTATCGCTTCCCAGATTGGAATTGATGGGTGCTTTGATAGGCTCCCGCTTGTCAAAATACATCCAAAAGAAACTTCGGGACATTGATTTGATTGTATATATGTGGACTGATTCTAGTATAACGTTACACTGGATTAGAAGTGATGTGAAAAGGTGGAAGCCATTCGTTCAGAACAGAGTGAAGGAAATACAGAAGAATTCAGATGTCTTGAACTGGAGATATACGCCTGGTGAACATAATCCAGCTGATTTACTAACTAGAGGTGAAAATGTCAAACATCTGAAGCAGAATAGCATATGGTGGGAAGGGCCCATGTGGTTGAAAGAAGAAATGGAACACTGGCCAAAAGCGAATTTATGTTCCACAAAGAACATTGAAGATTCCAACAAGAAACTAAGAAAAACATCGAAGGAAGTTTTCGTGAATTCATGTGTTACAGGACGTTCCGAAGATTTATTTAAAAGCGAAAATTACAGCAATTTACATCGAATTTACCGAATTACTGCGTGGTGCTTAAGGTTCATCAACAATGTTAAAAATACCTCGAAATTATCAGGATGTTTGCAGGTTACCGAATTGGAAATGGCAGAAACTTATTGGATCAAACGTGTTCAGGAGCGAAATTTCACAAATGAAATACGGGCATTGAAGAAAACGAGGA